CTTCCTTCCTTCCTTCCTTCTTTCTTTCCTTCCTTACTCATTTGTGATCTCAGGCAAGTCAGTTCCATCCTCTTTGCCTCAGGCTCCTAATCTGTAAAAAAGAAAACAGAGGGGCGGTGTAGTAAATGCTCCCTAAAGACACTTCCCCCTCTCAAGTCTAAGACCCTTTAAAATTAGTGTGTAAAGTGACATAGGGTGTTTTGTTGTGGCAACTCCAAGGGATGAAGCCCTGGATTAGACACCAGAGATTGACACAGCCTTTCCTGTAGCAATGGCAGTATGGATCAGGTTGTTCCCCGAGCTCTTAAAGTAGATAGGGACTATGGCAGGTTACGGAGAGTGTCAGGACAATGGCCAAGGTGGAATGAGAAATGTGGTTGGACACACTTACCATCAGGCCAGCTTCACCTCAAGGCAGGAGTTTCAGACATAAATGGCTGCTGGGTCTGGAGATCTCATTCATCCCCAAAGACAAAGTCAGACAAAGGAGACAAGGCAACATCATTGTACAAAGTTCTCATAGGTTCACATTTAAAGACCTGGACCCTCAACTCTCAGTGGACATCCCTTTAGTGGACACCAGAGTTACATAGAGCACTGGGGCAACAGAACTGATGAGATCACCAGTTAAGCTAATGTGGAGAGAGAAGACAAAGGCAAGAGCACGGCGGGGGGTGGGGGGGGAGGTTTCCAGACTCTCATGGTGAGAGAGCATAACCTGGATGAAATCCAACAAATGCAGCTGAGAAAGAGCAGGCAAACAGGTAGGAGGAAGGAGACAGTAAGACAGGCAGGAGGAGAACCAGGAGAAAACAGCATCTCAGGGAGAACCTGAAGGGGAAACTGTCCAGGACAAGGGTGTGATCAGTAGTGTCCGAGACTGCAGAGAGGACAGGAAGGATGAAGATTGGCAAAAGGCCATTTGGTTTGGCAAGCCTGAGATCAGTGATCTTTGAAGTTTCTGTTGAATCGTGAAATTGGAAGCCAAACTGCCCAGGGTTTAGACTAGAGAGAGAGGAGGCAATGGGGGCCATTGTAGAGGGTCTTCTAAAGGAACTTAGCCACGAAAAGGAGATGAGCTATAGGACAGTAGCTATCAGGCTCGGTTGGATCATTTGAGGTGTGTTTGGGTTTGTCGAGGAAGTAAACACAAACACATTTTTAGGAAACAGGGAAGCAGCCAGTAGATGGAGAGGGATTGAAAATAAGTAACAAAGTGGATCTGATAACAAGGAAAATCCACTGGAGAAGATGGGACAAGGTCTCCCCTATTTCTGTCTTGGGTTCTGGTATTGAAGCTCCCAAAGTCATCACATCTCTGAGGATGGAGCTTGGGACTCCAGTCAAGAGCCAGTTGCATCCTTCCTCAGAACAGGAACATGAGTGTTTCCCAGAGAAATGAGACAGAGAAGTTGGCAGGAGGCAGGTATAGACAGAAAGGTGGTCTGGAGCAAAGAAGAGACAAGACCATCCATCCTATCTTCTACTCTCTCTCCAAGGCCAGAATTCAGGGGAAATTTCTCATCCCTCCTACTTCTAGAGGGTGAGTCCTTCCACCCAGGCTATGGTATGAATACCAGCCCCTGGACCACAGAGGAATCAGACCTAAGCTCCTCCCAGCCATTGGGCTCTGAGATCCTGGGGTTAGAACTGTCCTCCCTGTGGGGGGCGGCCATAGCAGGATACACCTGCCCAATGTCTCTCTGAACCTCCTGGTGTACTATTAGTGGGAACAGGCTAGGCACAGGGCCTCTGGGGCCCGGCAGTGGGAGAAAGGACACTGCACTGATTCATCTTCCCTCCCTTCCCACAGACCAACCCTCCCCCCAGGATGCTTGGCCCCTCTTGCTTGTGGGCAGAGGAGGGATCACTCTGCATATGCTCTGTCCAGGGAGACCTGGCTCCTCCCTCCTTGCACTGGTGTGTAGGAGAGAGTATTGTGCATGGGAATGGCAGTGACAGCACCCTCCAGGTGGTATACAGCACCTCCAGGAGCCAAATCATCAGCAGTCTGACACTAGCCAACAAACTGGAGCCCGGTCTTGGCATCCTTTGCAAAGGGATGAACTACCATGGGGCCCAGAGTGTGAGTGTCCTGCTGCTGGTACCAGGTGAAGGGAGGGGGGCCCTGGATGGAAGCCAAGAGAATTCTGAGGGGCCGAGTTCAGGGGAAGCCAGAGCAGAGAAGGTGGAGGAGGGAAGAAAGTCTTTAATTGCCAAGACCTGGTAGCCAGTCATGTAGTATATGTGAGATGCCGGGCAAGCTGCTGTTAGAGTTAGAAGGGCTTAAGTTTCCACAGGTAGAATAATGCAGAGATTTAAAGAACAAAGGTCCCAGGAGGTGGTACACTGTAGGTGGGCTGGGCTTGACCAATAGGAAGTAAGTGGATTGTTCCAAGAAGACCCCAAAATCAAGATAGGGGTCGAGCCAGCTCAGACCAGTTAGGGTCAACCTGAGGACACCTGAAAAATGTTAGTGTGCCTGCTTAATGAACTTCATTACTATTATCTGACACACCCCACATAAAATTAGAGCCTCACTAATGAGTCATGGGATGTATGACCAAGGGAGGGGGAACATACTTGAGCATATCAAGGGGACACATGTAAGGAAAGGTATAACCTGGGAAGGGTTGGACCAATCCCGGACTGGGAGGTTTCATGCCAAATTCAACTGCATAAAAGCACGCTTTCCCTTGCACTCAGGGCCCACCCCTCCTGAAGAGGGGTGGAGCCCACTTCTGGCCAGAAACATCTAAATCCTCTGGACTATCTTTCTAATAAATTTTCTTGATACTAATTTTTTGGTGTCAAGCCTATTTCTAACACTGCTAACCCCATCTTTACCTAGCTGCTTCTTCTGTAGAGGAAATCCAAGGGACAAAGGAAGAAAGGAGGGAAGGGAGAGAGGAAGGGAAGAAAGAAAGAAAGAAGGAGGGAAGGAAGTAGTGAGGGGAGAAAATGAAGGAAGGAGGAATAGAAGGAAAGAAAGAAGGAAAGGAGAGAGGGAGGAAGGAAAGAAAGAAGGAAGGAGGGAAGGAGAGATGGAAAGAAAGGAAGAAGGAAGGGAAAGGAAGGGAGAGAGGGAAGGATGAAGGAAGAGAGAGGCAGGGAGGAAAGAAAGAAAGAAGACAGGAGAGAAGGAAGGAGTGAGGGGAGGGAAGGAAGGAAAGAGGAATAGAAGGGAAGGAAGGAGGAATAGAAGGAAAGAAAGAAGGGAGAGAGGGAGGGAGGAAAGAAGGAAGGAAGAAAAGAATATCTAGATGATGCAGTGGATAGAATGTTGCCCCTGGAATCAGGAAGACCTGAGCTTGAGGGATCAAGTCATTAACCTTTGTCAGCCTCAGTTTCCTCAACTGCAAAATGGGGAATAATAATAGCATTTATTCCCAGATTTGTTGTTTGAGTCAAATGAGATAACACCTGTAAGGTGCCTAATGAAGGACCTGGAAACAGTAGGCATTTAATAAATGCTGGTTTGCTGCTTCCCTTTCTGGGTGCCCAGACTGGCTGTGGCTGCTGGGTCTGGAGACCCCATTCACGCCCAAATATACAAAGAAGACAAGTCAACCCCATGGTGCAGAGTTCTCATCAGTTACCACTTGCAGGCCTAGCCCAGATTAAAAGGATTAGCAAAGAATCGCACTGAAGTTGAAATTCTGTATTTTATTAATTGTTGGGGGGGACAATGAGACTTATACTGCCTACCTCATTGGATTGTTCTGGGGAGCCCTTAGGAAACCAGGAAGCACCAGCCTATTCTGGGGAGTCCCTCAGAACAGGGAATGCCAGAGCTGGGAGGGGCCTTAGAACACAGAATAGAATAGGAGGGTTCAGAGGGGCCTTACAACTTAGCCTATAGAAGGTTAGGGCTGGGAGGGATCCCTCCCCACCTCTGCTCCCTCTAAGCATCAGCAGGTCTACCACCATTTTTATAGTAGGGTGCACACTCATCTGTTCTCTTCCCCAGCCTTGCTTCTGTCTTCTGTACATTTCCTGTATTGATTTTTACATCTCCATTTTCATGTGTATTTGTCCTTTCAGATAAATCCCATTTTACCTCCCTTGGTCTCTTCAGAATCTTATTCTTACATGTGCTCCTTCCTTCCTGGGCTGACTACATGTGTGCCCTGGCCAATCTATTACATGGGCTCCTGTCTCTCTTTCCTCTGAATCCTTTCAATCCAGGAATGTCCATTCTATTGGGAATGCATCCTGTCAGTAACCAGGTACTTTGAAGTGAGGAGAGTAGAAGATAAACAGAAAGTGAAAAGCATTGGGGCTGAGGCTTGAATAAAGCTGGGAAAAAGGGAAGGAGGGGTGAAAGCCTTCCAGGCATGGGGCACAGCCAGGGCAAAGGACTGGAGATGGGAGATGGAATGCCATGCCTAAGGAGAAGGCAGTTGGCCAGTGGAGCTGTATTAGAGAGATCTGAAAGGAGAATAAAGTAAGAATAATTATCAGCAATATTTGTGCTGCAGTGATGCACGGTCTTCAAAACACTTGGCAAATATCACATTTGATCCTCACAACAAGGCTGAGAAGGAGGAACTATCATTATTCCCATTTTACAGATGGGAAAACTCAGGCTCACATAGGGGAAATGACATGTAGGAAATGTCTCAGGCAGGATTTCAGCTCAGGTGTTCCTGACCCCAGGTCAGCTGGCACAGGACAGGGGCAGCAGTGTTTGATGGTCAGCCCCTGCTCTGGGCCAGGCTCTGGTCACTGCACCCCTGTCACCCACAGAAACATGCTATTCCACACAACATCCACGGCCACAGCCTGAGCAGAAAAATCGGTTATACCCCCCTCCCGACACCAGCACCTGAGTCCTGACTGTCCCTGGAGATGGCCCAAGGCAGGAGGCCCCGCCCCACTGACCTCAGCTAAGGAGGATGGGAGCCCATTGGGGGAAGAGGACAGGGGTTCCTCTTCTGAGGATGGTCCCCCCTCTCTCTTCACACACGGGCTTCCTGTTTCATCTTCCTCTTTGCCCTGAACCTCACACATCTGGCCAGAGGGAGCCATGGTATTCAGGGAGTGACACAGAACCCCAGCAGAACCTGGCTCTCTCCTGTCTCATAGATGCTGCTGCTGCTGCTGCTGCTGCCCCTGCTGTGGGAGGGTGAGTGGGGCTGGGGCAAAGGGACACTGCTCTCAGGGGTATGGGAAGAGTTGGAGATGCTGACCAGGCCTCTGTCTGCCCTCAGGGTCCCTGTCCCAGATACTGGAGCTGCAGCCCTCGGTGACGGTGCAGGCAGGGATGTGTGCCCATGTCCTCTGCACCTTCCATCGCTCAGGAGGATTATTCTCTTACCACTACGGAGTTCATGGCTACTGGTTCAGAGAAGGGACTCATGTTTTATATGGCAGACCCGTGGCTACCAATGACCCATCTCGGGAGGTGGAGGATGAAGCTGATGGGAGATTCCATCTCCTTGGGGATCCCAGGATGAACAATTGTTCTCTAAGCATCACAGATGCCCGGTTCTCAGACACGGGGAAATACTTCTTCCGATTTCACTCTGGATATGATAAATACAGTTACCTCAAGAATCTACTCTATGTGAATGTGACAGGTAGGATGCTCCTCTCTTGGGAGGTTCTCAGTGTATGAGGCAGGGAGGTCTGGGGAAAGGACTGGCCTTGGAGACCCTGAAGCTCCCTGTGGGAGGGGTGAGAGAACATGAGGGACATGTGGGGAACCCCCCAGGGAGAGGGGCAGCCCTAGGGAAGGGGGTGAAGACTCTACCTAAAGCTCCAGAGCTGCAAAGTGGAGGGAATGTAGAGGGGTTCTCTTTGTGAGGAACCAGGACCCCAGGCAAGGCTGACAGGGGCCATGGTTTGTGCTGGAAAGAGCTCTGGGTCTGTTGTCAAAGGAAGTAGATTCAAATCCCAGATTTCTGACCAATTCTCTTTGGGGCATTTCTTCCTATCATTTCCCCCTCCCTCTCTGGGACTCAGTTTCTCCTTATGTAAAATGAAGAGCTTGTTCTCTATTGCCTTTAATGCAACTTCCACTTGACCTATAATCTATGAGTGATTAGGCTCCTGAGGATGACAGGGGAGGCCCTGAAAGCTGGTAAGGAACAGGGGCCTGAATGGGGTCACACTATGAGGGGAACACAGTAAAGCCCTGAGGGATGGGGGAGGTGCCAGCATCTGGAAAGAGACTTGAGGCTAATTCCCCTCCCCTGCCCATGGCTCACTGTCTCTCTCCTCTCCAGACTTGATCCAGAAACCAGACATCTCTATGCCAGAGATGCTAGAGTCGGGGAACCTAGTGACTGTGAACTGCACATTTCCTTGGGCCTGTGGGGAAAACAGGCCCTTCAAATTCTCCTGGAGTGGTGCCGCCCTCTCCTCCAAGACACAAAGCTCTTGGGCATCCCACTCCTCAGAGGCCTCCTTCATCCCTGAACCCCAGCATCATGGCACCAACCTCACCTGTCAGGTGACCCTTCCTGGAGGCCGTCTGAGCACGGAGAGAACCGTCCAACTCAACGTGTCCTGTGAGTGCTAGGTGCACTCACCTAGTGAGGGAGAGAGGGAGGGGTGCATTAAGAGTCCATGGCCCTGGCGAATTCCTGGGAAATCAGATGCCTTTTTCCTGGATCAGGGCAGGGAGAGCAGACAGTCTGGCATTTCCTATTTTTTCTCTCTCTCAGTCTCCATGGTTTCATGTGCCAGTGTCAGTCAGGTAGGGATTATCCTGGATGGTCTCTGAGCTCCCTTCCACAGAACATCAGTTCTGTGATATTGAACTTAATGTCTTCCCTGCCTGAGGCTGGGCTGGGCAGAGAGCCCCATCCCCAGCCAGCCTAGTCCTTCTGTTGTAGATGCTGTGCAGAATGTGACCATCACCGTGGCCCAGGACAACAGGACAACAGGTATTAGCAGAGCCCCAGGGGGAGGGCAGGGAGGGGACCTGGTCTTTCAGCTCCTACTCTGAGGGTGGGCATGAATGTCAGGAAGGTGAGGGAGACAGGAGAGACTGGAAATCTCACTCTGCAGACCCAGGTTCTCTTTGTCTTGGGCTTCCCCTCTTCTTGCAATTACATCAGCACATGTTAACTCACGACTTTAGGGCATAGAAACCATTTTCCTCCTAACATTCTCATGAGATAAAGTCATGGAGAGTTCTTATCCCCATTTTGCAGATGAGAAAGCTGAGGCTCAGAGCTGTGAGGAGTCTAATAGAGTTCACAGAGTACCCAGCACCAGAGACATGCGAACTCTAAACGTAGAGTCTAAATGTAGTGACTTCTCCACTACACCAGGCTTAGGCTGAGAGGCACAAGTCCCACTTTGGGTCCCGTTCCCAGGCCAGTGCTTTGTCCACTGTACCTCTCAATGTTTCCCTGTTAGGAAAGCTGACCTGGCACTCTACAATCCAGGCCAAATGGGGAGGCTTTGCTACCTTGGTGCATTCATTTTCGTTACAGGGCTGATCTGGAGAGTTGGAGGGGCTTATGTAGGAAGATGCTATGGAGGATGGGTCTAGGGGCTGCTGTCAATGGAGGACAGGATTCTGGCCATGCAGGCTGAGCCTTTAGCACTCAGTCATGGAAGGTGTAGCATTTGCCTTGAGGCCACAGGGCTGCTGGGTGTGGGAAACTGGAACCTAGTGGTGATCACATTGGACTCACATGATGTAAGATTTCTGCCATCACTCTGCAGACCTTTCCATCTCCTGAGAGCATATTTTGTTGTTTTTGTGTTTCACATTATTTTCCCTTTAACTGAGAGAGAGAAAGAGAGAGACAGAGAAAGCGAGACCAAGAAAAAAATACACGCAGAAAGAGTGAAAGACAGAGAAGAGGGAGACAGAGAGACAGAGGGTGAACAGAGAGAGAAAATAAAACAAAGAGAGAGAGAAATAAAGAAGGAAGGGAAGAAGGAGATAGAAAGAGGCAAGCGATGAAGGAAAAGAAAGAAAAAGGAAGGAAGGAAGGAAGGAAGGAAGGAAGGAAGGAAGGAAGGAAGGAAGGAAGGAGGAGGGAGGGAGGAGGAGGGAGGAAGGAAGGAGTGAAGGAATGACAGAAGGAAACAGGAAAAGAAGGAAGGAAAAAGGCAGAAGGAAATAAGGATGGAAAAGGAAGGAAGGGAAAAAGAAAGATAGGAAGAAAAAAGAAAGGAAGAGTGAAAAGCAAGAATAATGAAAAAGGAAGGAAGGAAAGACATAAGAGAGAGAAAGAAAAATAAAAGGAAGGAAGGAAGAAAGAATATGGAGGGAAGGTACAAAAGAATAAAGGAAAGAAGGAAGAAGAGAAAAAGGGAAAAAGAAGATGTGGAGGAAAAGAAAAATGATAGAAAAAGATGGAAGGATAGAAGGAAGGAAGGAAAGAAGGAAGGAAGGAAGGAAGGAAGGAAGGAAGGAAGGAAGGAAGGAAGGAAGGAAGGAAGGAAGGAAGGAAGGAAGGAAAGGAAGATGAACAAAAACCCAATCTGAGGGAAAGGCAGGGAACATGAGCTACGCTGAGTGGGGGCTGGTAGCCGGAAGACAGACAGGTGGGGCCTCCATTGTCTGGTGCTGGGGAGCAGCCAGGTAATATGGAGTGGAGTTAGAAGGGGGCAGGAATCCAGGCTGGGCTGGGCCTGGGGGATTTCCTTACTGCATGGCCTCCTGGCCTCTTCCAGCTGCCCCTTCCTGGTGTGATTTTGGGGAAGTCACATCAGCTCTTCAGCTCCCAGGACCCTGCTGGGTACAGTGAAGGTGGGGACTAGGGGATCTCTTAAGTCCCTCCAGGTTCTCACTCCTGGGACATCCTGATCTTTTTCAGTTTTCATCCCAGGAAACAGCTCAGATCTTGTGGTGCAGGAGGGACAGTCCCTTCGCCTGCTCTGTGCTGCCAACAGCAATCCCCCAGCCACACTGAGCTGGCTCCTGGGGACCAAACCCTGGCCTCTTCCCAGCCTTCACAGAATGGAGTCCTGCACCTGGATCTGCCCCACCTAGGGCCAGCAGATGGAGGGAATTACACCTGCCTTGCTCAGCATCCTCTGGGCTCCAAGCAGGCCTCCCTAAATGTCTCTGTGCAGTGTGAGTGTGAGGGGGCTGGGCACCATGGGGTGCTTGGCTGCTGGTGGGATAAGGACAGTATCACCCACTAAGGGGGAATCTCCTGTATCTTCCCACAGACCCCCAAGGATGCTCAGCCCTTCTTGCTCCTGGGTCAAGGAGGGCTTGTTCTGTACCTGTTCTGTCCAAGCAGAGCCCCCTCTTTGAGCTGGTGGGTAGGGGGGAAGCCTGTGGAGGGCAGTGGTAGGAGTGACACCTTCCAGGTGATATCAAACAGATCTGGGCCCTGGGCCAACAGCAGCCTGAGTGTGAAGGTGGAGCCAGGCCATAACATCAGTCCCTACTGTGAGGTGAGGATCCACCACAGGGAGGACAGTCTCAGTGTCTGCTTGATGCCAGGTAAGAGGGCTAGGGCACCTGGAGGAAGGGAGAGCTGTGAGGGGGCTGATTCAGGGGCCAAGTGGAAGCCCGAGGAGAGAGCTGAAGCTGAGGGTTATCAAGAGCTACCCAGAGATGCCAGGGAGATTTCCTGGGAAGAGCCTTGTACAGGAGCCAGGAGTCGGAGCCAGGAGACAGGTTTGAAACACACCAGCCTCCATGCCCCCTTCTTTTGCCCAAGGAGACAGCACACTGAGGATTCCCACAAGGTTGGCTGAAATCCCAGGATGCTTTGCTTTACTGTTACCTTAAGCTACTAACCCAGTCTAGGGGGATTCTGGGATCCAGGCCTGAGGTGGGAAACCCCCTCCACCATGTGAACTACCACGGGGCCAAGAGGATCTTGGTCACTAAAAGAATGGACAGATATTGGTGAAGTTCTCTCCATAACATATCAAAGACCCTGGACTTTGTAGGACAGGAGAGGGACCAATGTTCTGACTGTTTTATTTAAGAGGAAGAGAATTGACCATACAAAGTAGAGGCCAGAGAAATTGACCTGAATCTTTGGCAAGTCTGAGGATGGAATATTAAAGGGATGCTTGGTGAAGAGAGAGAAAGGGAAGCTGTGATTGCAGAGTCGAAGGCCTGCCTATCGAACCCTCTGTGTTGGTTTGAGCCAGTCCTACCCTGGCTGGTGGGAGGAATGCCAGACATTCCATGGAGCTGGACTTTAGTCAAGCATAGGATAGAGAATTCATGTCAACCTTGTGGAGAAGAAGGAGAAGTGTGGATTGCTGCAGACCAGAACTGGGCATGGAGAAGGAGGCAAGCTCCCTGGACTGCAGTTAATGGAGGCGGTGCCCTTCCACCTGCCCACCCCTCAATCAACAATTCACTTGTTTCCTGCTTTAAAATCAGGGCTTCACTTGGTCTGTGGCCTCTCTCTCACTTTCTAATATGGTTCAAAGACTCCAAGAAGTCATTGTGAGGCCCATCTGCTGAGTACCTTCATCACCTGAGTACCAAGACTGAATTTGTCAGGGTTTTGGACTTGAATCTCTGAGGGCAGACGCATGCTGGCTTTCCATTTATCTCCTCACCTATCTAATGTGAAGTCATGTCAGCCAGCATTTATGAAGCACCCACTACATGCCGGGGGGGAATGGGTGTATGCGTAGTGGTAGATGGGGTGTTCAGGGAGGGTCAGCACCTGAGGTGGGAGGGCTGGTGAGCCTTCATCAGGGCTCCTCCATCTCTGGTGTCCACCTCTCACCCAGTGTCCCCTGTGGCTCCAAGAAGCTGTAGCATGCACAGGGGCCATGCTCTGGTGAAACCATTTCAGCACATGGGTAAACAAGGTAGAAAGTAACTGGGAGGCCTCACAGTCATGGGTGAGTTAGAGGGAAGTCTGCCCAAAGCATGTGAAGGCTTCTGATGCTAGAACAGCAGTGTGAGGACAATTTGTTCCAATGGCCATGAAGGCGGCTGATGCAGCCACTGTGGAGGGCTTACAGCATGGTTGGACATCAAAGACGCCTCAGCATCTCAGGCCAACACCCTGGTGCTTGGGTCTGGGCGGCGAGGTAGAGGACAGATGAGAGGAGAAAGCCTGAGGTGGTTGAGGCAGCAGAGAGAGTGCTGGGGAGGGTCTGGGAGGGGCAGATAGTGGGGGTAGCCCCTCTGTTGTTTGGGCTGGAGAGCCTCTCTTGAGGTCATGCCTGTGCTGGTTATGGGGTTCACAGTTTCCCCGCCTTGTTCTGTTCCCAATCTGAGCACATAACAGCATCTAGAACCAGGCAGGAAGAGGTGTTGAAGGCAGTTATCAGAGCCTGGACTCCTGTGCTGTGCCCACTGGGCTGGGCTCTGTCTCCCACCCCTAGAGAAGGGCCTGGCAGCCCTGGGCCTTGGGAATTCAAGGAGGGAGCTGGGGTCCTGAGAGGGAGTGAGGCTGGATGGGGAGAACTGGGGCCTAGGGGACAATGAGCCTCTAATCATCCGTGCTCCTCTGTCTCCCACAGCCTTCTCTGCCCAGGAGAACAGCTCTTGGCCCCTCATGCTCACACTGCTCCGGGGAGCCCTCATGGGGGCCGGCTTTCTGCTCACCTATGGCCTCACCTGGCTCTATTACACCCGGTGAGTATGTCTGCCCTCTGACCCCCAAGCCATGGCATCCTGTGCCCCTCACCCACTGCCCAGCCCCCTCCTCATTCTGCTTCCCCAAAATGGTCCCTGGGTCTCCAGCACCCCACACACCCCCTGGCCTTAAGGTCCAGGCTCTTCCAGCTGTGACCAGCATTGGGCCTGTTTCTCCCACAGGAATCCTCTAGGGAGGGAGCTGCCACCAGCTCCAGAAGCTGCGCAGTGCTCTGTGTGAAGGCTCTCCTGCCCTGGAACCCAGCCCAGACCTGCCTCCTACCTCTTCCACTCGATGGCCCCAGTTCTGCCTTCAGGGACCCAGCAAGTCAAGCCTGACCCACCAGCCAGTGGACTGACCTCCAGGCCTAGCCGACCATCCTCAGGTCTCCCGTGGGTCTCCTCTTCTCTCTCTGAACAGCCACAGGCCTTTCCCCAGATTGGCCTATGGCATGACCTCCTTGATGGAGGGAGGGAGTCTGCATCCCAGGACCTGCTACCAGGACATGCCAAAGCCCCAGAAGCCCAGCCCCGGACCTGGGAGAGCGCCTGCAGCTGTCGCCAGAGCACCCAGGACCACATTAGATGACCAGACCCTTTCTTTGAGCCAATTCCTCCTGGGGACTTTGGCCATGCTCCTGGGCTTCAGTTTCCTCATCTGAAGTGAGAGGGTTAGACTCCACACTCTCTGCTCCCTCCATCAGGGTACCTGATGTTCAAATCATGAGGGTCACCAGGTGTCTGAGCACTGCCTTCTTCTGCTTTAGACAAATGTGTCTCCTACCGGGATGCAGGGAGGGTGAGGTCCTGCTCCTCCCAGCACCCCACCTCCTGTTCTCCTTCATCTCCACTAGAGGTCAGCAGGCCTCTTTCTGTTCTGTAGGGGATCAGTTACCCCCTCACTCCCCGTGAAACCCAACAGCTTCTCCAGGGCTCACTTCCCAAAGAAGCCACTACGGGGAGCCCTGGCTTCGTACAAAGATTTCCAGCACTAGTGGCGAGCGTCCCTAGGTTCCATTGGCTTCAATCAGCATGTCCATAGTAGGCTCAGTCCAAGGGGGTCCCTGGAGCAGGGGTATCCTGGTTCCTGGATAAAACCAGGTAGGGCAGCAGATACAGAGTGGGACAAGATGACAGTCCACTTTCTGTCTTCTCTAAAAGCAGGCTTTGGGAGGACTTTGGCACTCTACCTTCCAGAGAGGAAAAGAGACTGAGGGAACCTCTCCAAAACCCCAGCCCACAAAGCCAAGCCACGAATCCACAAAGCCCAAATTCAGGCCTTGGAAATCTGCACCCCAGTCACTGCTTTGCCTGTTTTATCTCAACGAAGTTTTCACTTGGAAGCTCAGAATTAGCTCATTTCTAGGTCACTGCAGATAAGAATAAAAGATGTCTTATGCAAGCACCAGTGGTGCACCAAAGCATACTTGATATAGGACAGCCTTCATTTTACTCAACAAACAATGAAAAAACTGCAAAGCAGTGAAAACAATCCGCAAACTATTGATATTAATCATCTTCCTATTTCCAGTGAATCCTGCCTTCCACACAAGGACCAGTCTTATGGCCCAATCCCTTTAGGGGTTTAGGGATGTTCAAGAGTCAGCCTCTGACATTCTAACATGAAAAATGATTATCAATAAGCAATAATTTGGTGGGGGGAGAGATTCAGAGCTCTACCTTCTAAAGTGCAGACTTTAAGTTCAGTTCTTAAGGACATTGCTAATAATGAGATTGGATTCCCTTTCTTGTTCAAGGACCCACCCTGGTGGAAGCTGTCCAGATCTGCTGAGGCTTGGGTTGGGTATACCTCCTTTGAAATGATAGCCTCAAGCCATGGGTGGTCTGGTAGACAGATACTTTCCCTCAGCCCCTCATTTTAATATTAGCCCATCTCCAGTCAGGTTAACCAATTAGAGTTGATTGCTGTTTGGGGAACCATCTACTGTTCTGAAGAGTATATAAACTATGGGTCTACCCCCATGATTGCCTTTGGTCTAAGAGAGAGGCCAAATGACCATCTTTTTACTAATAACCTGCTGGCCTTATGTAATAATAAAATGATTAAATCACCCAGAAACTATGTCTCTCTAACGTTCTTAAATGTCACACAAATCAGTCCTACTCTTCACCCTAACCCTAATGCTCCCCAATGATGACGTGCAGTTTGATGCCTCTCATCACGACAGTGGGAAAGGAGAATTTTGAGGTTTTGGCTCACTTAGTGGGAAAATTGAAAGTGAAATCAAGATTCAATGTGAAGGCAAAGTAAACAGGGCCCATTATATGTCCCCAAATCCTTGCATCATTGCACTCCATCCAGTGATGTCCTTGTTTTCAACTACACCAAGCACCCTTCAAAACCAGACCCTTCTGGCAAGTATACCCCAGACTTGCATCCCCGTGGACATCAAAAGGAGGACTATGGGCTGTCTTGGAACCCAAATCTCAGTGGCCACTTCTTTAGTGCATCAGATGACCATAATATCTGCTCGTGGGACATCAGTGCAGTTCCAAAGGAAGATAAAGCAGTGGATGCAAAGACCATATTCATAGGTCACACAGCAGTAGTCAAAGATGTTTCTTGGCACCTGCTCTATGAATCTCTCTTTGGATCAGGTTCTGATGATCAGAAGCTTATGATCTGGGACAAATGGGCGAGCAGTACTTCCAAACCGGGCCACTCAGTGGATGCCCACACTGCCAAAGTAAATTGTCTGTCTTTCAGTCCTTATAGTGAGCTCATTCTTGCCACAGGATCAGCTGACAAGAGAATTGCACTGTGGAATCTTAGACATCTGAAACTGAAGCTGAATTCCTTTGAGTCCTATAAGGATGAAATGTTCCAGGTTCAGTGTCCTCCCCACAATGAAACTATCTTGGCTTCTGTGGCATTGAGTCCAGGACAAACATCTGGGACTCGAGTCAAATTTGAGAGGAGCAGCGTACTGAAGATGCAGAAGGGGGGCCCCCAGGATTGTTGTTTATTCATGGTGGTCACACTGCTAAGATATGAGATGTCTCTTGGAGCCCCAGTGAACCTTGGGTTATTGATTCTGTATCACAAGACAATATCATGCGAAAATGGCAGAAGGCTGAGAACATATACAATGATGAAAATCCTGAGGGAAGAGTGGATCCAGGGGGCCTCAACGTGTCTGCCTTGGTGCTGATTTTTAGACACCCCTATCTTCCCCACCTGAGACTGATAACACTGGTTTTGAGACAGACGTTTTTGTCCAGACATTCTTCTCTAAGTACCTGTTAACCCAGAGAGTGAATGATTTCTGACTATTAACTATGGGGCGGGGGGATTGACTCAGCAGAGCCACAGACCTGTACTCAATTTCTTTCTAAGAACTTTTTAAGACAAATGCAGCTCTCAAACTGATTTAGCTACAGGAAATGGACCATGAGTGCTTTATTTTTTTTCTTCCTATGCTATGACTGCAAGTTTTTCAGGCTGATTTAACTAAAATTAGGATGGGGTAGGATTTATATCCAAGTGAGAAGTCTGAGCCACTGATGTATTGGCATGGTAAGACATCTGAACTGTTTCCCTTGTTCATAAAGATTCAATGACTAAAATTGGCATGGCTAACCTTCTAGGGTAAAGATCATCCTGTTGTAGACTGCCCTACCCCTGCTGGTTTCCTCCGTAACCAGTCAAAATTTCTTATCATTTTTTTTGTTTTATTTGTTTTTCCTTCCCTAGTAACTGTTTAATCCCCTCCTTCCACTTCTTATCTGATGGGGACAAACAGCCATGTCAAATGTGTAGTAGCTATACCTGCAAAATATCTTTGTTCATCTCATATAGTTTTTCCAGATTGAGTGTAAATAGCAATTGTTTCTGTTCTGGACAGAATTCTGAGGATCTTCCCCTCTCAGACTGATTCTTTTGTGAAGGAAAAACTAAGCCATCGTTTGCCTCCATTCTTGCCTGACCTTTAAATGCTGAACTGATGTTACCTCTGACAAACTGAGACCTGGGACACACTTAGCTAAAAAGCCAAGGTCTCCCACCGCATGCAGGGTCATCGCCAGTTGTCCTGACCTGTGTCTTGACACTGGACTCCAATGACTTTGAAGGAGAGAGTGAGGCTGATGACTTTGCACAGCTCTGACCCACTCAAATCCAATTCATTTGCAATTCAAGACATTATCACTCTTCTGATGTCATCGGTCCTCTTCAAGAATGAAAGACAAATGACAACAATATGGAAGGGACTGAAAATCTTTCATTTCTGGACCTTTGACTGATTCAATGTGCAGGGATGAGTTAGAAGGACAGAGAACAAAATCCACCTATTTGAAGTCTAGAAAAACCATCTATGGTATCTACAACCCAACCCAACTGAACTTCCAGATAGAATGACAAGAAAGGCTATAAAACTTGTAGTTCTTCCAGAAATACATGATGAGAGAAATATCCTGAAGATGTTGAAGGAATCAGAACCCAAAAACTCCACAGACATATAGAAATGAAATAGTGAGTCGTTAAGATTGACTGAATAAGAGGACACTGACGTGGGGAAGTCCAAAATTTAACTTACTAAGTAGTGTCATAATTCATATCAGACCTTCAGGTCCCTCAAGCAGATGTAGTATGTGTCCATAAAGAGGAGGAAACAGGGTTTTGTTGGGTTTTTTTCATATGCTAAGGATAAAGAATGAAAATAGGCAAGGTTACTCTCAACAGAAATCAATTGAGATGATGTAAAATGGTTAGTTCACACTCCAAAATGACATAAACTACATTATTGAGTTTTCTCATGCCAAAACATAAGTTGATATTCAGCTTAAGCAAGAAAAGAAGAGAGGAAGAGGAACTAGATGTTCCTGAACTGTGTTCTAGCCATTCTTCAGCTCATGCAGGACTTGGTCTCAGGAAGTCTCCCTCTCCAATCACAGGCTTTTCTTTTAAGGGCCCCCTCTCACCTGAGGGAGAGGGAGTCTCAGAGTCTCAAAAGTGCTTGGTCCCTTGGAGGAGTGCAGAGAAGATCACGTGGTGAGTGAAGAGCTCATGTTGACTTTAGATACCCATCCCCTTTATCACAACAAACTAAGTCCTTTAGAGATCAAACTTCTGAGATTGAGGTTCCCCAAAAAAGATCTTTTCTCACAAAAGAAGAAAAGCGAAACTTGCTCTCTCATTTCACTAAATGCTGAGGACCCCTCCCTTGTTTTCCAGAAGGCCCATTTTATAGGAGGAACATAGACCTAAGTCATGTGGGTGACTGGTTGGCTTTGTTCTCTGAGGTCCCAGAAGGTGGCACCAAGATCAATGGATAGCTGTGGCAAAGGAACATTTTGATGTGAGGAAAAGCTTCCGAAGAGTTACTGGTGCCCAAAGGGGAAGAGGTCACCTGCAGAGCCTGTGGGTTCCTCTTCTTGGAGCCTGGACAACCACCTGTTACACAAGGAAAAGTGGAACTTCCTTTGCAGGGGACTGCTGAGGCCCCTTCCACCTCTGCACTTCACATGATTCTCAGAAATTCTTCTTAGCCATGCCTTTCTTCTATCACACTCAGGAAATTAATTTTTGTCCCCAAGGCTGAGACTTTGCATTTCTCCCTCTTGGGGAACAGGTAAGAAAACAAGCATTTCTATAGTGCCCAGTAGGTGCCAGGCATTGTGCTAACCACTTTTAGAACTATGATGGCATTTGATCCTCAGAATGACCCTGAGAGGTCAGTGCTATTCTTATTTCCTTTTTAAGAGACTGAGGTGGACAGAGGTGAAGTGACTTGCCCAGGATGATGCAGCCGGTGAGTGCCTGAGGATGGATTGGTACTCAACTCTCCCTGTCTTCAGGCTCAGGGCTCTATCCGCTGGGCCACGCAGTGGCCTCTGTGAAACGATCGCTTGTTAGATAAAGCCCAGAGCTGCAGGCTTTTAACATCATTTTTCACGGCACCTCGTCCACTGTGGTGGCTGTTTCTGAGTCATCTCAAAATCTGAGCAGACCACCTATGCCTTCATCCAAGTCACTGGAGAAATGCTGAGCAGCACAGAGCCCAGGGCAGGCACCCACCTGGGCTAGTCTCCTGGAGATGTCCTGACTTGATGACATTGGACCATCAACATCTGCTCTTTAAGGACAGGCATCCAATTGGTTCTAATGGAACTGACCATATTGTTGTCTAAGCTGTTACCGTCCATCTGCTGCATAGAACACAATAACTCTTTGAACACTGTGTTCAAATTCAGGCCAACTAAGTCTGCAGCATCATTCTCTTCATCTACTAAGTGGTTGTGTCCAGAAAAGGAAGTGAAGGGACTCTGGCATGATCTTTGGTTGGGGAAGTCAAGCTGGTTTGTGACCATCACTACCTCCCTATCTAGCCATTACCCATGTATCTCTTTAATCCTTTATTCTACCATGTCTATGGGAATTGAAGTCAAGCTCATTGCTCTGCAGGGAGCAGACTGGGCTCTTCCCTCTTGTAAATGGAGACCACATTTGCCCTTCTCCATTCTTGTGGTGCCTTTCTCCTTTTTCACGGCCTTTTATAAACCATTTTTTATTTATTTTGCTAAATATTTACCAATCATGTATAAAAAAAGCTTTAATAGTCATTTGTTAAACTTTTGAGTTCTAAATTCTCTCTCTCCCTCTTGCCTCTCCCCTCTTCTGGAGAAGGCAAGCACTTTGTGTTGAAGAGAGATGAGTGAAAGGAGAGAGAAGGAGACAGAGAGAGAGACAGAGACAGAGAAGTTAGAGACAGAGAGAGAGAGAAATCCAACAGCGGGCATCAAATCTCCGTATTTACATGTATATATTTTGTGTAGGAGCAGGGTTCCAGCCTCTTACCCATTAGTCAGAGGAGGCCCAGACCCTAGGAGGGAATCAATCAATCAGTCAATCAATACCCTAGCACAGCAGGGATTAATGGATTTCCTTCTAAATTCCCTATAATTCATGGACAAACCTTTAGTCAATTCGAAGGCATTCTAGGACATTTAGCCATTGGATGAAGGCATATGTTGGCCACAAGGGAGGCACCATGGGACAGAGGCACCACTGAGCTGGTGCACCAAGAGGACAGCCCAGGGCTGGAAGACACCAACCTTGGGAGGGCCTTGAGGAGACCTACTTTGATATCAATAGCACAGGGTAGTAGGGGCAACAGAGGAAGAGGCCAGGTGCAGTGTTCCGTTTCTCTCAACCCACACACTAAATAGTCAGTATGATGAGTGAGAGCTGGAAGAGTGAACCCAGAAGAGCTTTTTACTAGGCTATGCATGAACTTATCCTCCCCCCGTCCTGAGTTGACAGTAAGCTCCCTGAGGGCAGGAATATCTCCGCACTGTCTCTGAATCAGCAGTGCCCTGCACAGTGTCTGCCACAGAGGAGTCCCTTCCTAAGTAATTGCATGGCTTGTAGCTGAAAGCTTAGAGAACAGTCAATAACCTGCATCAATGAGCCACCAAAGGTTTTTATTGAGACTGAATCCCAAGGAGACCAAAGACAAGACAGAAAGGTCCCATAACCACCAGAACATCCATAGCAAAAATGATGGTGGCTCAGATACTGCCATGACCACAATAAAGGGACAGTGGGGATCCAAAGGAGAGGGGAGTCTCACTGAATTATGTGGGATGAAAATACTGGAAAATGGTGCTCGTGAAGATGTGGGCACACAGAGAAGATGAGTGAACTGATGAAGCGTGGGAAAGGTGAACGAGGGAAACACTGTGGGCAAACACCAAGGAATCCAAATAAGGAACCGGCAGCCAGTCAAGAGTCACCAAGCATTTATTAAGTGCTTGCAGTGTACTAGGCATTGTGCTAAGCACTGAGGATACCAAGAAAGGCAAACCAGCCCCCATCCAGCAGGAATATTCCTTCTAGTAGGATGACACCCTGTAAGTAACCAGGTACTTAGGAGAGTAGAAGATAAACGGGAAGTGGAAGCAAGAGATGGAATGGCAGGTGAGCCTTTATTCAAGCCACGAAAAAGGAAAGGAGGGGTGAAGCCTTCCAGGCATGGGGCACAGCCAGGGCAAAAGCCTGGAGATGGGAGATGGGATGCCGTGCCTGAGGAGCAGGCAGTTGGCCAATGTTGCTGGCTTAGAGAAGTCGTAGAGGAGAGTAAAGTAATAATAACTATCATCAGCATTTGTGCTGTAGTGATTCAAGGTCTGCAAAACACTGGGCAAATATCATATTTGATCCTCACAACAAGGCTGAGAAGGAGATACTGTTATTATCCCCATCTTACAGATGGGAAAACTGAGGCTCACACAGGGGAAATGACTTGCAGAAATGTCTGAGGCAGGATTTCAGCTCAGGTGTTCCTGATGTCAGGTCACCTGGTACAGGACAGGGGCAGCAGTGTTTGATGGTCAGCCCCTGCTCTGGGACAGGCTCTGGTCACTGCACCCCTGTCACCCACAGAAACATGCTATTCCACACAACATCCACGGCCACAGCCTGAGCAGAAAATCGGTTATACCCCCCTCCCGACACCAGCACCTGAGTCCTGACTGTCCCTGGAGCTGGCCCAAGGCAGGAGGCCCCGCCCCACTGACCTCAGCTAAGGAGGATGGGAGCCCACTGGGGGAGGAGGACAGGGGTTCCTCTTCTGAGGATGGTCCCCCCTCTCTCTTCACACAAGGGCTTCCTGTTTCATCTTCCTCTTTGCCCTCAGCCTCACACATCTGGCCAGAGGGAGCCATGGTGTTCAGGGAGTGACACAGCGTCCCAGCAGAACCTGGCTCTCTCCTGTCTCATAAATGCTGCAGCTGCTACTGCTGCTGCTGCCCCTGCTGTGGGAGGGTGAGTGGGGCTGGGGCAGAGGGACACTGGTCTGAGGAGGGTGGGAAGAGTTGGAGATGCTGACCAGGCCTCTGTCTGCCCTCAGGGTCCCTGTCCCAGATACTGGAGCTGCAGCCCTCGGTGACGGTGCAGGCAGGGATGTGTGCCCATGTCCCCTGCACCTTCCATCGCTCAGGAGGATTATTCTCTTACCACTACGGAGTTCATGGCTACTGGTTCAGAGAAGGGACTCATGTTTTATATGGCAGACCCGTGGCTACCAATGACCCATCTCGGGAGGTGGAGGATGAAGCTGAGGGGAGATTCCATCTCCTTGGGGATCCCAGGATGAACAATTGTTCTCTAAGCATCACAGATGCCCGGTTCTCAGACACAGGGAAATACTTCTTCCGATTTCACTCTGGATATGATAAATACAGTTACCTCAAGAATCTACTCTATGTGAATGTGACAGGTAGGATGCTCCTCTCTTGGGAGGTTCTCAGTGTATGAGGCAGGGAGGTCTGGGGAAAGGACTGGCCTTGGAGACCCTGAAGCTCCCTGTGGGAGGGGTGAGAGAACATGAGGGACATGTGGGGAACCCCCCAGGGAGAGGGGCAGCCCTAGGGAAGGGGGTGAAGACTCTGCCTAAAGCTCCAGAGCTGCAAAGTGGAGGGAATGTGGAGGGCTTCTCTGTGTGAGGAACCAGGACTCCAGGTAAGGCTGAGAGGGGCCATGGTTTGTGCTGGAAAAAACTCTGGGTCTGTTGTCAAAGGAAGTAGATTCAAATCCCAGATTTCTGACCAATTCTCTTTGGGGCATTTCTTCCTATCATTTCCCCTCCCTCTCTGGGACTCATTTCTCCTTATGTAAAATGAAGAGCTTGTTCTCTATTGCCTTTAATGCAACTTCCACTTGACCTATAATCTATGAGTGATTAGGCTCCTGAGGATGACAGGGGAGGCCTGAAAGCTGGTAAGGAACAGGGGCCTGAATGGGGTCACACTATGAGGGGAACACAGTAAAGCCCTGAGGGATGGGGGAGGTGCCAGCATCTGGAAAGAGACTTGAGGCTAATTCCCTCCCCTGCCCATGGCTCACTGTCTCTCTCCTCTCCAGACTTGATCCAGAAACCAGACATCTCTATGCCAGAGATGCTAGAGTCGGGGAACCTAGTGACTGTGAACTGCACATTTCCTTGGGCCTGTGGGGAAAACAGGCCCTTCAAATTCTCCTGGAGTGGTGCCGCCCTCTCCTCCAAGACACAAAGCTCTTGGGCATCCCACTCCTCAGAGGCCTCTTCATCCCTGAACCCAGCATCATGGCACCAACCTCACCTGTCAGGTGACCCTTCCTGGAGGCCGTCTGAGCACAGAGAGAACCGTCCAACTCAACGTGTCCTGTGAGTGCTAGGTGCACTCACCTAGTGAGGGAGAGAGAGGGGTGCATTAAGAGTCCATGGCCCTGGCGAATTCCTGGGAAATCAGATGCCTTTTTCCTGGATCAGGGCAGGGAGAGCAGACAGTCTGGCATTTCCTATTTTTTCTCTCTCTCAGTCTCCGTGGTTTCATGTGCCAGTGTCAGTCAGGTAGGGATTATCCTGGATGGTCTCTGAGCTCCCTTCCACAGAACATCAGTTCTGTGATATTGAACTTAATGTCTTCCCTGCCTGAGGCTGGGCTGGGCAGAGAGCCCCATCCCCAGCCAGCCTAGTCCTTCTGTTGTAGATGCTGTGCAGAATGTGACCATCACCGTGGCCCAGGACAACAGGACAACAGGTATTAGCAGAGCCCCAGGGGGAGGGCAGGGAGGGGACCTGGTCTTTCAGCTCCTACTCTGAGGGTGGGCATGAATGTCAGGAAGGTGAGGGAGACAGGAGAGACTGGAAATCTCGCTCTGCAGACCCAGGTTCTCTTTGTCTTGGGCTTCCCCTCTTCTTGCAATTACATCAGCGCATGTTAACTCATGACTTTAGGGCGTAGAAACCATTTTCCTCCTAACATTCTCACGAGATAAAGTCATGGAGAGTTCTTATCCCCATTTTGCAGATGAGAAAGCTGAGGCTCAGAGCTGTGAGGAGTCTAATAGAGTTCACAGAGTACCCAGCACCAGAGACATGCGAACTCTAAACGTAGAGTCTAAATGTAGTGACTTCTCCACTACACCAGGCTTAGGCTGAGAGGCACAAGTCCCACTTTGGGTCCCGTTCCCAGGCCAGTGCTTTGTCCACTGTACCTCTCAATGTTTCCCTGTTAGGAAAGCTGACCTGGCACTCTACAATCCAGGCCAAATGGGGAGGCTTTGCTCCTTGGTGCATTCATTTTGGTTTCAGGGCTGATCTGGAGAGTTGGAGGGGCTTATGTAGGAAGATGCTATGGAGGATGGGTCTAGGGGCTGCTGTCAATGGAGGACAGGATTCTGGCCATGCAGGCTGAGCCTTTAGCACTCAGTCATGGAAGGTGTAGCATTTGCCTTGAGGCCACAGGGCTGCTGGTGTGGGAAACTGGAACCTAGTGGTGATCACATTGGACTCACATGATGTAAGATTTCTGCCATCACTCTGCAGACCTTCCCATCTCCTGAGAGCATATTTGTTGTTTTTGTGTTTCACATTATTTTCCCTTTAACTGAGAGAGAGAAAGAGAGAGACAGAGAAAGCGAGACCAAGAAAAATATACACGCAGAAAGAGGAAAGACAGAGAAGAGGGAGACAGAGAGACAGAGGGTGAACAGAGAGAGAAAATAAAACAAAGAGAGAGAGAAATAAAGAAGGAAGGGAAGAAGGAGATAGAAAGAGGCAAGCGATGAAGGAAAAAAAGAAAAAGGAGGAAGGAAGGAAGGAAGGAAGGAAGGAAGGAAGGAAGGAAGGAAGGAAGGAAGGAAGGAAGGGAGGGGAGGGAGGGAGGAAGGAAGGAGTGAAGGAATGACAGAAGGAAACAGGAAAAGAAGGAAGGAAAAAGGCAGAAGGAAATAAGGATGGAAAAGGAAGGAAGGGAAAAAGAAAGGAAGAGTGAAAAGCAAGAATAATGAAAAAGGAAGGAAGGAAAAGCATAAGAGAGAGAAAGAAAAATAAAAGGAAGGAAGGAAGAAAGAATATGGAGGGAAGGTACAAAAGAATAAAGGAAAGAAGGAAGAAGAGAAAAAGGGAAAAAGAAGATATGGAGGAAAAGAAAAATGATAGAAAAAGATGGAAGGAAGGAAGGAAGGAAGGAAAGAAGGAAGGAAGGAAGGAAGGAACGAAGGAAGGAAGGAAGGAAGGAAAGGAAGGAAGGAAGGAAGGAAGGAAGGAAGGAAGGAAGGAAGGAAGGAAAGGAAGATGAACAAAAACCCAATCTGAGGGAAAGGCAGGGAACATGAGCTACGCTGAGTGGGGGCTGGTAGCCGGAAGACAGACAGGTGGGGCCTCCATTGTCTGGTGCTGGGGAGCAGCCAGGTAATATGGAGTGGAGTTAGAAGGGGGCAGGAATCCAGGCTGGGCTGGGCCTGGGGGATTTCCTTACTGCATGGCCTCCTGGCCTCTTCCAGCTGCCCCTTCCTGGTGTGATTTTGGGGAAGTCACATCAGCTCTTCAGCTCCCAGGACCCTGCTGGGTACAGTGAAGGTGGGGACTAGGGGATCTCTTAAGTCCCTCCAGGTTCTCACTCCTGGGACATCCTGATCTTTTTCAGTTTTCATCCCAGGAAACAGCTCAGATCTTGTGGTGCAGGAGGGACAGTCCCTTCGCCTGCTCTGTGCTGCCAACAGCAATCCCCCAGCCACACTGAGCTGGCTCCTGGGGGACCAAACCCTGGCCTCTTCCCAGCCTTCACAGAATGGAGTCCTGCACCTGGATCTGCCCCACCTAGGGCCAGCAGATGGAGGGAATTACACCTGCCTTGCTCAGCATCCTCTGGGCTCCAAGCAGGCCTCCCTAAATGTCTCTGTGCAGTGTGAGTGTGAGGGGGCTGGGCACCATGGGGTGCTTGGCTGCTGGTGGGATAAGGACAGTATCACCCACTAAGGGGGAATCTCCTGTATCTTCCCACAGACCTCCCAAGGATGCTCAGCCCTTCTTGCTCCTGGGTCAAGGAGGGCTTGTTCTGTACCTGTTCTGTCCAAGCAGAGCCAGCCCCCTCTTTGAGCTGGTGGGTAGGGGGGAAGCCTGTGGAGGGCAGTGGTAGGAGTGACACCTTCCAGGTGATATCAAACAGATCTGGGCCCTGGGCCAACAGCAGCCTGAGTGTGAAGGTGGAGCCAGGCCATAACATCAGTCCCTACTGTGAGGTGAGGATCCACCACAGGGAGGACAGTCTCAGTGTCTGCTTGATGCCAGGTAAGAGGGCTAGGGCACCTGGAGGAAGGGAGAGCTGTGAGGGGGCTGATTCAGGGGCCAAGTGGAAGCCCGAGGAGAGAGCTGAAGCTGAGGGTTATCAAGAGCTGCCCAGAGATGCCAGGGAGATTTCCTGGGAAGAGCCTTGTACAGGAGCCAGGAGTCGGAGCCAGGAGACAGGTTTGAAACACACCAGCCTCCATGCCCCCTTCTTTTGCCCAAGGAGACAGCACACTGAGGATTCCCACAAGGTTGGCTGAAATCCCAGGATGCTTTGCTTTACTGTTACCTTAAGCTACTAACCCAGTCTAGGGGGATTCTGGGATCCAGGCCTGAGGTGGGAAACCCCCTCCACCATGTGAACTACCACGGGGCCAAGAGGATCTTGGTCACTAAAAGAATGGACAGATATTGGTGACGTTCTCTCCATACCATATCAAAGACCCTGGACTTTGTAGGACAGGAGAGGGACCAATGTTCTGACTGTTTTATTTAAGAGGAAGAGAATTGACCATACAAAGTAGAGGCCAGAGAAATTGACCTGAATCTTTGGCAAGTCTGAGGATGGAATATTAAAGGGATGCTTGGTGAAGAGAGAGAAAGGGAAGCTGTGATTGCAGAGTCGAAGGCCTGCCTATCGAACCCTCTGTGTTGGTTTGAGCCAGTCCTACCCTGGCTGGTGGGAGGAATGCCAGACATTCCATGGAGCTGGACTTTAGTCAAGCATAGGATAGAGAATTCATGTCAACCTTGTGGAGAAGAAGGAGAAGTGTGGATTGCTGCAGACCAGAACTGGGCATGGAGAAGGAGGCAAGCTCCCTGGACTGCAGTTAATGGAGGCGGTGCCCTTCCACCTGCCCACCCCTCAATCAACAATTCACTTGTTTCCTGCTTTAAAATCAGGGCTTCACTTGGTCTGTGGCCTCTCTCTCACTTTCTAATATGGTTCAAAGACTCCAAGAAGTCATTGTGAGGCCCATCTGCTGAGTACCTTCATCACCTGAGTACCAAGACTGAATTTGTCAGGGTTTTGGACTTGAATCTCTGAGGGCAGACGCATGCTGGCTTTCCATTTATCTCCTCACCTATCTAATGTGAAGTCATGTCAGCCAGCATTTATGAAGCACCTACTACATGCCGGGGGGGAATGGGTGTATGCGTAGTGGTAGATGGGGTGTTCAGGGAGGGTCAGCACCTGAGGTGGGAGGGCTGGTGAGCCTTCGTCAGGGCTCCTCCATCTCTGGTGTCCACCTCTCACCCAGTGTCCCCTGTGGCTCCAAGAAGCTGTAGCATGCACAGGGGCCATGCTCTGGTGAAACCATCTCAGCACATGGGTAAACAAGGTAGAAAGTAACTGGGAGGCCTCACAGTCATGGGTGAGTTAGAGGGAAGTCTGCCCAAAGCATGTGAAGGCTTCTGATGCTAGAACAGCAGTGTGAGGACAATTTGTTCCAATGGCCATGAAGGCGGCTGATGCAGCCACTGTGGAGGGCTTACAGCATGGTTGGACATCAAAGACGCCTCAGCATCTCAGGCCAACACCCTGGTGCTTGGGTCTGGGCGTCGAGGTAGAGGACAGATGAGAGGAGAAAGCCTGAGGTGGTTGAGGCAGCAGAGAGAGTGCTGGGGAGGGTCTGGGAGGGGCAGATAGTGGGGGGTAGCCCCTCTGTTGTTTGGGCTGGAGAGCCTCTCTTGAGGTCATGCCTGTGCTGGTTATGGGGTTCACAGTTTCCCCGCCTTGTTCTGTTCCCAATCTGAGCACATAACAGCATCTAGAACCAGGCAGGAAGAGGTGTTGAAGGCAGTTATCAGAGCCTGGACTCCTGTGCTGTGCCCACTGGGCTGGGCTCTGTCTCCCACCCCTAGAGAAGGGCCTGGCAGCCCTGGGCCTTGGGAATTCAAGGAGGGAGCTGGGGTCCTGAGAGGGAGTGAGGCTGGATGGGGAGAACTGGGGCCTAGGGGACAATGAGCCTCTAATCATCCGTGCTCCTCTGTCTCCCACAGCCTTCTCTGCCCAGGAGAACAGCTCTTGGCCCCTCATGCTCACACTGCTCCGGGGAGCCCTCATGGGGGCCGGCTTTCTGCTCACCTATGGCCTCACCTGGCTCTATTACACCCGGTGAGTATGTCTGCCCTCTGACCCCAAGCCATGCATCCATGCCTCTCACCCACTGCCCAGCCCCCTCCTCATTCTGCTTCCCCAAAATGGTCCCTGGGGTCTCCAGCACCCCACACACCCCCTGGCCTTAAGGTCCAGGCTCTTCCAGCTGTGACCAGCATTGGGCCTGTTTCTCCCACAGGAATCCTCTAGGGAGGGAGCTGCCACCAGCTCCAGAAGCTGCGCAGTGCTCTGTGTGAAGGCTCTCCTGCCCTGGAACCCAGCCCAGACCTGCCTCCTACCTCTTCCACTCGATGGCCCCAGTTCTGCCTTCAGGGACCCAGCAAGTCAAGCCTGACCCACCAGCCAGTGGACTGACCTCCAGGCCTAGCCGACCATCCTCAGGTCTCCCGTGGGTCTCCTCTTCTCTCTCTGAACAGCCACAGGCCTTTCCCCGATTGGCCTATGGCATGACCTCCTTGATGGAGGGAGGGAGTCTGCATCCCAGGACCTGCTACCAGGACATGCCAAAGCCCCAGAAGCCCAGCCCAGGACCTGGGAGAGCGCCTGCAGCTGTCGCCAGAGCACCCAGGACCACATTAGATGACCAGACCCTTTCTTTGAGCCAATTCCTCCTGGGGCACTTTGGCCATGCTCCTGGGCTTCAGTTTCCTCATCTGAAGTGAGAGGGTTAGACTCCACACTCTCTGCTCCCTCCATCAGGGTACCTGATGTTCAAATCATGAGGGTCACCAGGTGTCTGAGCACTGCCTTCTTCTGCTTTAGACAAATGTGTCTCCTACCGGGATGCAGGGAGGGTGAGGTCCTGCTCCTCCCAGCACCCCACCTCCTGTTCTCCTTCATCTCCACTAGAGGTCAGCAGGCCTCTTTCTGTTCTGTAGGGGATCAGTTACCCCCTCACTCCCCGTGAAACCCAACAGCTTCTCCAGGGCTCACTTCCCAAAGAAGCCACTACGGGGAGCCCTGGCTTCGTACAAAGATTTCCAGCACTAGTGGCGAGCGTCCCTAGGTTCCATTGGCTTCAATCAGCATGTCCATAGTAGGCTCAGTCCAAGGGGGTCCCTGGAGCAGGGGTATCCTGGTTCCTGGATAAAACCAGGTAGGGCAGCAGATACAGAGTGGGACAAGATGACAGTCCACTTTCTGTCTTCTCTAAAAGCAGGCTTTGGGAGGACTTTGGCACTCTACCTTCCAGAGAGGAAAAGAGACTGAGGGAACCTCTCCAAAACCCCAGCCCACAAAGCCAAGCCACGAATCCACAAAGCCCAAATTCAGGCCTTGGAAATCTGCACCCCAGTCACTGCTTTGCCTGTTTTATCTCAACGAAGTTTTCACTTGGAAGCTCAGAATTAGCTCATTTCTAGGTCACTGCAGATAAGAATAAAAGATGTCTTATGCAAGCACCAGTGGTGCACCAAAGCATACTTGATATAGGACAGCCTTCATTTTACTCAACAAACAATGAAAAAACTGCAAAGCAGTGAAAACAATCCGCAAACTATTGATATTAATCATCTTCCTATTTCCAGTGAATCCTGCCTTCCACACAAGGACCAGTCTTATGGCCCAATCCCTTTAGGGGTTTAGGGATGTTCAAGAGTCAGCCTCTGACATTCTAACATGAAAAATGATTATCAATAAGCAATAATTTGGTGGGGGGAGAGATTCAGAGCTCTACCTTCTAAAGTGCAGACTTTAAGTTCAGTTCTTAAGGACATTGCTAATAATGAGATTGGATTCCCTTTCTTGTTCAAGGACCCACCCTGGTGGAAGCTGTCCAGATCTGCTGAGGCTTGGGTTGGGTATACCTCCTTTGAAATGATAGCCTCAAGCCATGGGTGGTCTGGTAGACAGATACTTTCCCTCAGCCCCTCATTTTAATATTAGCCCATCTCCAGTCAGGTTAACCAATTAGAGTTGATTGCTGTTTGGGGAACCATCTACTGTTCTGAAGAGTATATAAACTATGGGTCTACCCCCATGATTGCCTTTGGTCTAAGAGAGAGGCCAAATGACCATCTTTTTACTAATAACCTGCTGGCCTTATGTAATAATAAAATGATTAAATCACCCAGAAACTATGTCTCTCTAACGTTCTTAAATGTCACACAAATCAGTCCTACTCTTCACCCTAACCCTAATGCTCCCCAATGATGACGTGCAGTTTGATGCCTCTCATCACGACAGTGGGAAAGGAGAATTTTGAGGTTTTGGCTCACTTAGTGGGAAAATTGAAAGTGAAATCAAGATTCAATGTGAAGGCAAAGTAAACAGGGCCCATTATATGTCCCCAAATCCTTGCATCATTGCACTCCATCCAGTGATGTCCTTGTTTTCAACAACACCAAGCACCCTTCAAAACCAGACCCTTCTGGCAAGTATACCCCAGACTTGCATCCCCGTGGACATCAAAAGGAGGACTATGGGCTGTCTTGGAACCCAAATCTCAGTGGCCACTTCTTTAGTGCATCAGATGACCATAATATCTGCTCGTGGGACATCAGTGCAGTTCCAAAGGAAGATAAAGCAGTGGATGCAAAGACCATATTCATAGGTCACACAGCAGTAGTCAAAGATGTTTCTTGGCACCTGCTCTATGAATCTCTCTTTGGATCAGGTTCTGATGATCAGAAGCTTATGATCTGGGACAAATGGGCGAGCAGTACTTCCAAACCGGGCCACTCAGTGGATGCCCACACTGCCAAAGTAAATTGTCTGTCTTTCAGTCCTTATAGTGAGCTCATTCTTGCCACAGGATCAGCTGACAAGAGAATTGCACTGTGGAATCTTAGACATCTGAAACTGAAGCTGAATTCCTTTGAGTCCTATAAGGATGAAATGTTCCAGGTTCAGTGTCCTCCCCACAATGAAACTATCTTGGCTTCTGGTGGCATTGAGTCCAGGACAAACATCTGGGACTCGAGTCAAATTTGAGAGGAGCAGCGTACTGAAGATGCAGAAGGGGGGCCCCCAGGATTGTTGTTTATTCATGGTGGTCACACTGCTAAGATATGAGATGTCTCTTGGAGCCCCAGTGAACCTTGGGTTATTGATTCTGTATCACAAGACAATATCATGCGAAAATGGCAGAAGGCTGAGAACATATACAATGATGAAAATCCTGAGGGAAGAGTGGATCCAGGGGGCCTCAACGTGTCTGCCTTGGTGCTGATTTTTAGACACCCCTATCTTCCCCACCTGAGACTGATAACACTGGTTTTGAGACAGACGTTTTTGTCCAGACATTCTTCTCTAAGTACCTGTTAACCCAGAGAGTGAATGATTTCTGACTATTAACTATGGGGGCGGGGGGATTGACTCAGCAGAGCCACAGACCTGTACTCAATTTCTTTCTAAGAACTTTTTAAGACAAATGCAGCTCTCAAACTGATTTAGCTACAGGAAATGGACCATGAGTGCTTTATTTTTTTTCTTCCTATGCTATGACTGCAAGTTTTTCAGGCTGATTTAACTAAAATTAGGATGGGGTAGGATTTATATCCAAGTGAGAAGTCTGAGCCACTGATGTATTGGCATGGTAAGACATCTGAACTGTTTCCCTTGTTCATAAAGATTCAATGACTAAAATTGGCATGGCTAACCTTCTAGGGTAAAGATCATCCTGTTGTAGACTGCCCTACCCCTGCTGGTTTCCTCCGTAACCAGTCAAAATTTCTTATCATTTTTTTTGTTTTATTTTTGCTTTTCCTTCCCTAGTAACTGTTTAATCCCTCCTTCCACTTCTTATCTGATGGGGGACAAACAGCCATGTCAAATGTTGTAGCTATACCTGCAAAATATCTTTGTTCATCTCATATAGTTTTGCTCAGATTGAGTGTAAATAGCAATTGTTTCTGTTCTGGACAGAAATTCTGAGGATCTTCCCCTCTCAGACTGATTCTTTTGTGAAGGAAAACTAAGCCATCGTTTGCCTCCATTCTTGCCTGACCTTTAAATGCTGAACTGATGTTACCTCTGACAAACTGAGACCTGGGACACACTTAGCTGAAAAAAGCCAAGGTCTCCCACCGCATGCAGGGTCATCGCCAGTTGTCCTGACCTGTGTCTTGACACTGGACTCCAATGACTTTGAAGGAGAGAGTGAGGCTGATGACTTTGCACAGCTCTGACCCACTCAAATCCAATTCATTTGCAATTCAAGACATTATCACTCTTCTGATGTCATCGGTCCTCTTCAAGAATGAAAGACAAATGACAACAATATGGAAGGGACTGAAAAATCTTTCCCATTTCTGGACCTTTGACTGATTCAATGTGCAGGGATGAGTTAGAAGGACAGAGAACAAAATCCACCTATTTGAAGTCTAGAAAAACCATCTATGGTATCTACAACCCAACCCAACTGAACTTCCAGATAGAATGACAAGAAAGGCTATAAAACTTGTAGTTCTTCCAGAAATACATGATGAGAGAAATATCCTGAAGATGTTGAAGGAATCAGACCCAAAAACTCCACAGACATAGTAGAAATGAAATAGTGAGTCGTTAAGATTGACTGAATACAGAGGACACTGACGTGGGGAAGTCCAAAATTTAACTTACTAAGTAGTGTCATAATTCATATCAGACCTTCAGGTCCCTCAAGCAGATGTAGTATGTGTCCATAAAGAGGAGGAAACAGGTTTTGTTGGGTTTTTTTCATATGCTAAGGATAAAGAATGAAAATAGGCAAGGTTACTCTCAACAGAAATCAATTGAGATGATGTAAAATGGTTAGTTCACACTCCAAAATGACATAAACTACATTATTGAGTTTTCTCATGCCAAAACATAAGTTGATATTCAGCTTAAGCAAGAAAAGAAGAGAGGAAGAGGAACTAGATGTTCCTGAACTGTGTTCTAGCCATTCTTCAGCTCATGCAGAAGACTTGGTCTCAGGAAGTCTCCCTCTCCAATCACAGGCTTTTCTTTTAAGGGCCCCCTCTCACCTGAGGGGAGGGAGTCTCAGAGTCTCAAAAGTGCTTGGTCCCTTGGAGGAGTGCAGAAGATCACGTGGTGAGTGGAAGAGCTCATGTTGACTTTAGATACCCATCCCCTTTATCACAACAAACTAAGTCCTTTAGAGATCAAACTTCTGAGATTGAGGTTCCCCAAAAAAGATCTTTTCTCACAAAAGTACGCAAAAGAAGAAAAGCGAAACTTGCTCTCTCATTTCACTAAATGCTGAGGACCCCTCCCTTGTTTTCCAGAAGGCCCATTTTATAGGAGGAACATAGACCTAAGTCATGTGGGTGACTGGTTGGCTTTGTTCTCTGAGGTCCCAGAAGGTGGCACCAAGATCAATGGATAGCTGTGGCAAAGGAACATTTTGATGTGAGGAAAAGCTTCCGAAGAGTTACTGGTGCCCAAAGGGGAAGAGGTCACCTGCAGAGCCTGTGGGTTCCTCTTCTTGGAGCCTGGACAACCACCTGTTACACAAGGAAAAGTGGAACTTCCTTTGCAGGGGACTGCTGAGGCCCCTTCCACCTCTGCACTTCACATGATTCTCAGAAATTCTTCTTAGCCATGCCTTTCTTCTATCACACTCAGGAAATTAATTTTTGTCCCCAAGGCTGAGACTTTGCATTTCTCCCTCTTGGGGAACAGGTAAGAAAACAAGCATTTCTATAGTGCCCAGTAGGTGCCAGGCATTGTGCTAACCACTTTTAGAACTATGATGGCATTTGATCCTCAGAATGACCCTGAGAGGTCAGTGCTATTATTATTTCCTTTTTAAGAGACTGAGGTGGACAGAGGTGAAGTGACTTGCCCAGGATGATGCAGCCGGTGAGTGCCTGAGGATGGATTGGTACTCAACTCTCCCTGTCTTCAGGCTCAGGGCTCTATCCGCTGGGCCACGCAGTGGCCTCTGTGAAACGATCGCTTGTTAGATAAAGCCCAGAGCTGCAGGCTTTTAACATCATTTTTCACGGCACCTCGCCACTGTGGTGGCTGTTTCTGAGTCATCTCAAAATCTGAGCAGACCACCTATGCCTTCATCCAAGTCACTGGAGAAATGCTGAGCAGCACAGAGCCCAGGGCAGGCACCCACCTGGGCTAGTCTCCTGGAGACGTCCTGACTTGATGACATTGGACCATCAACATCTGCTCTTTAAGGACAGGCATCCAATTGGTTCTAATGGAACTGACCATATTGTTGTCTAAGCTGTTACCGTCCATCTGCTGCATAGAACACAATAACTCTTTGAACACTGTGTTCAAATTCAGGCCAACTAAGTCTGCAGCATCATTCTCTTCATCTACTAAGTGGTTGTGTCCAGAAAAGGAAGTGAAGGGACTCTGGCATGATCTTTGGTTGGGGAAGTCAAGCTGGTTTGTGACCATCACTACCTCCCTATCTAGCCATTACCCATGTATCTCTTTAATCCTTTATTCTACCATGTCTATGGGAATTGAAGTCAAGCTCATTGCTCTGCAGGGAGCAGACTGGGCTCTTCCCTCTTGTAAATGGAGACCACATTTGCCCTTCTCCATTCTTGTGGTGCCTTTCTCCTTTTTCACGGCCTTTTATAAACCATTTTTATTTATTTTGCTAAATATTTACCAATCATGTATAAAAAAAGCTTTAATAGTCATTTGTTAAACTTTTGAGTTCTAAATTCTCTCTCTCCCTCTTGCCTCTCCCCTCTTCTGGAGAAGGCAAGCACTTTGTGTTGAAGAGAGATGAGTGAAAGGAGAGAGAAGGAGACAGAGAGAGAGACAGAGACAGAGAAGTTAGAGACAGAGAGAGAGAGAAATCCAACAGCGGGCATCAAATCTCCGTATTTACATGTATATATTTTGTGTAGGAGCAGGGTTCCAGCCTCTTACCCATTAGTCAGAGGAGGCCCAGACCCTAGGAGGGAATCAATCAATCAGTCAATCAATACCCTAGCACAGCAGGGATTAATGGATTTCCTTCTAAATTCCCTATAATTCATGGACAAACCTTTAGTCAATTCGAAGGCATTCTAGGACATTTAGCCATTGGATGAAGGCATATGTTGGCCACAAGGGAGGCACCATGGGACAGAGGCACCACTGAGCTGGTGCACCAAGAGGACAGCCCAGGGCTGGAAGACACCAACCTTGGAGGGCCTTGAGGAGACCTACTTTGATATCAATAGCACAGGGTAGTAGGGGCAACAGAGGAAGAGGCCAGGTGCAGTGTTCCGTTTCTCTCAACCCACACACTAAATAGTCAGTATGATGAGTGAGAGCTGGAAGAGTGAACCCAGAAGAGCTTTTTACTAGGCTATGCATGAACTTATCCTCCCCCCGTCCTGAGTTGACAGTAAGCTCCCTGAGGGCAGGAATATCTCCGCACTGTCTCTGAATCAGCAGTGCCCTGCACAGTGTCTGCCACAGAGGAGTCCCTTCCTAAGTAATTGCATGGCTTGTAGCTGAAAGCTTAGAGAACAGTCAATAACCTGCATCAATGAGCCACCAAAGGTTTTTATTGAGACTGAATCCCAAGGAGACCAAAGACAAGACAGAAAGGTCCATAACCACCAGAACATCCATAGCAAAAATGATGGTGGCTCAGATACTGCCATGACCACAATAAAGGGACAGTGGGGATCCAAAGGAGAGGGGAGTCTCACTGAATTATGTGGGATGAAAATACTGGAAAATGGTGCTCGTGAAGATGTGGGCACACAGAGAAGATGAGTGAACTGATGAAGCGTGGGAAAGGTGAACGAGGGAAACACTGTGGGCAAACACCAAGGAATCCAAATAAGGAACCGGCAGCCAGTCAAGAGTCACCAAGCATTTATTAAGTGCTTGCAGTGTACTAGGCATTGTGCTAAGCACTGAGGATACCAAGAAAGGCAAACCAGCCCCCATCCAGCAGGAATATTCCTTCTAGTAGGATGACACCCTGTAAGTAACCAGGTACTTAGGAGAGTAGAAGATAAACGGGAAGTGGAAGCAAGAGATGGAATGGCAGGTGAGCCTTTATTCAAGCCACGAAAAAGGAAAGGAGGGGTGAAAGCCTTCCAGGCATGGGGCACAGCCAGGGCAAAAGCCTGGAGATGGAGATGGATGCCGTGCCTGAGGAGCAGGCAGTTGGCCAATGTTGCTGGCTTAGAGAAATCGTAGAGGAGAGTAAAGTAATAATAACTATCATCAGCATTTTGCTGTAGTGATTCAAGGTCTGCAAAACACTGGGCAAATATCATATTTGATCCTCACAACAAGGCTGAGAAGGAGATACTGTTATTATCCCCATCTTACAGATGGGAAAACTGAGGCTCACACAGGGGAAATGACTTGCAGAAATGTCTGAGGCAGGATTTCAGCTCAGGTGTTCCTGATGTCAGGTCACCTGGTACAGGACAGGGGCAGCAGTGTTTGATGGTCAGCCCCTGCTCTGGGCAGGCTCTGGTCACTGCACCCCTGTCACCCACAGAAACATGCTATTCCACACAACATCCACGGCCACAGCCTGAGCAGAAAATCGGTTATACCCCCTCCCGACACCAGCACCTGAGTCCTGACTGTCCCTGGAGCTGGCCCAAGGCAGGAGGCCCCGCCCCACTGACCTCAGCTAAGGAGGATGGGAGCCCACTGGGGGAGGAGGACAGGGGTTCCTCTTCTGAGGATGGTCCCCCCTCTCTCTTCACACACAGGCTTCCTGTTTCATCTTCCTCTTTGCCCTCAGCCTCACACATCTGGCCAGAGGGAGCCATGGTGTTCAGGGAGTGACACAGCGTCCCAGCAGAACCTGGCTCTCTCCTGTCTCATAAATGCTGCAGCTGCTACTGCTGCTGCTGCCCCTGCTGTGGGAGGGTGAGTGGGGCTGGGGCAGAGGGACACTGGTCTGAGGAGGGTGGGAAGAGTTGGAGATGCTGACCAGGCCTCTGTCTGCCCTCAGGGTCCCTGTCCCAGATACTGGAGCTGCAGCCCTCGGTGACGGTGCAGGCAGGGATGTGTGCCCATGTCCCTGCACCTTCCATCGCTCAGGAGGATTATTCTCTTACCACTACGGAGTTCATGGCTACTGGTTCAGAGAAGGGACTATGTTTTATATGGCAGACCCGTGGCTACCAATGACCCATCTCGGGAGGTGGAGGATGAAGCTGAGGGGAGATTCCATCTCCTTGGGGATCCCAGGATGAACAATTGTTCTCTAAGCATCACAGATGCCCGTTCTCAGACACAGGGAAATACTTCTTCCGATTTCACTCTGGATATGATAAATACAGTTACCTCAAGAATCTACTCTATGTGAATGTGACAGGTAGGATGCTCCTCTCTTGGGAGGTTCTCAGTGTATGAGGCAGGGAGGTCTGGGGAAAGGACTGGCCTTGGAGACCCTGAAGCTCCCTGTGGGAGGGGTGAGAGAACATGAGGGACATGTGGGGAACCCCCCAGGGAGAGGGGCAGCCTTAGGGAAGGGGGTGAAGACTCTGCCTAAAGCTCCAGAGCTGCAAAGTGGAGGGAATGTGGAGGGCTTCTCTGTGTGAGGAACCAGGACTCCAGGTAAGGCTGAGAGGGGCCATGGTTTGTGCTGGAAAAAACTCTGGGTCTGTTGTCAAAGGAAGTAGATTCAAATCCCAGATTTCTGACCAATTCTCTTTGGGGCATTTCTTCCTATCATTTCCCCCTCCCTCTCTGGGACTCAGTTTCTCCTTATGTAAAATGAAGAGCTTGTTCTCTATTGCCTTTAATGCAACTTCCACTTGACCTATAATCTATGAGTGATTAGGCTCCTGAGGATGACAGGGGAGGCCCTGAAAGCTGGTAAGGAACAGGGGCCTGAATGGGGTCACACTATGAGGGGAACACAGTAAAGCCCTGAGGGATGGGGGAGGTGCCAGCATCTGGAAAGAGACTTGAGGCTAATTCCCCTCCCCTGCCCATGGCTCACTGTCTCTCTCCTCTCCAGACTTGATCCAGAAACCAGACATCTCTATGCCAGAGATGCTAGAGTCGGGGAACCTAGTGACTGTGAACTGCACATTTCCTTGGGCCTGTGGGGAAAACAGGCCCTTCAAATTCTCCTGGAGTGGTGCCGCCCTCTCCTCCAAGACACAAAGCTCTTGGGCATCCCACTCCTCAGAGGCCTCCTTCATCCCTGAACCCCAGCATCATGGCACCAACCTCACCTGTCAGGTGACCCTTCCTGGAGGCCGTCTGAGCACAGAGAGAACCGTCCAACTCAACGTGTCCTGTGAGTGCTAGGTGCACTCACCTAGTGAGGGAGAGAGGGAGGGGTGCATTAAGAGTCCATGGCCCTGGCGAATTCCTGGGAAATCAGATGCCTTTTTCCTGGATCAGGGCAGGGAGAGCAGACAGTCTGGCATTTCCTATTTTTTCTCTCTCTCAGTCTCCATGGTTTCATGTGCCAGTGTCAGTCAGGTAGGGATTATCCTGGATGGTCTCTGAGCTCCCTTCACAGAACATCAGTTCTGTGATAATTGAACTTAATGTCTTCCCTGCCTGAGGCTGGGCTGGGCAGAGAGCCCATCCCCAGCCAGCCTAGTCCTTCTGTTGTAGATGCTGTGCAGAATGTGACCATCACCGTGGCCCAGGACAACAGGACAACAGGTATTAGCAGAGCCCCAGGGGGAGGGCAGGGAGGGGACCTGGTCTTTCAGCTCCTACTCTGAGGGTAGGCATGAATGTCAGGAAGGTGAGGGAGACAGGAGAGACTGGAAATCTCGCTCTGCAGACCCAGGTTCTCTTTGTCTTGGGCTTCCCCTCTTCTTGCAATTACATCAGCGCATGTTAACTCAGACTTTAGGGCAAGAAACCATTTTCCTCCTAACATTCTCATGAGATAAAGTCATGGAGAGTTCTTATCCCCATTTTGCAGATGAGAAAGCTGAGGCTCAGAGCTGTGAGGAGTCTAATAGAGTTCACAGAGTACCCAGCACCAGAGACATGCGAACTCTAAACGTAGAGTCTAAATGTAGTGACTTCTCCACTACACCAGGCTTAGGCTGAGAGGCACAAGTCCCACTTTGGGTCCCGTTCCCAGGCCAGTGCTTTGTCCACTGTACCTCTCAATGTTTCCCTGTTAGGAAAGCTGACCTGGCACTCTACAATCCAGGCCAAATGGGGAGGCTTTGCTACCTTGGTGCATTCATTTTGGTTTCAGGGCTGATCTGGAGAGTTGGAGGGGCTTATGTAGGAAGATGCTATGGAGGATGGGTCTAGGGGCTGCTGTCAATGGAGGACAGGATTCTGGCCATGCAGGCTGAGCCTTTAGCACTCAGTCATGGAAGGTGTAGCATTTGCCTTGAGGCCACAGGGCTGCTGGGTGTGGGAAACTGGAACCTAGTGGTGATCACATTGGACTCACATGATGTAAGATTTCTGCCATCACTCTGCAGACCTTTCCATCTCCTGAGAGCATATTTTGTTGTTTTTGTGTTTCACATTATTTTCCCTTTAACTGAGAGAGAGAAAGAGAGAGACAGAGAAAGCGAGACCAAGAAAAATATACACGCAGAAAGAGTGAAAGACAGAGAAGAGGGAGACAGAGAGACAGAGGGTGAACAGAGAGAGAAAATAAAACAAAGAGAGAGAGAAATAAAGAAGGAAGGGAAGAAGGAGATAGAAAGAGGCAAGCGATGAAGGAAAAGAAAGAAAAAGGAAGGAAGGAAGGAAGGAAGGAAGGAAGGAAGGAAGGAAGGAAGGAAGGAAGGAAGGAAGGAAGGGAGGGAGGGAGGGAGGAAGGAAGGAGTGAAGGAATGACAGAAGGAAACAGGAAAAGAAGGAAGGAAAAAGGCAGAAGGAAATAAGGATGGAAAAGGAAGGAAGGGAAAAAGAAAGGAAGAGTGAAAAGCAAGAATAATGAAAAAGGAAGGAAGGAAAGACATAAGAGAGAGAAAGAAAAATAAAAGGAAGGAAGGAAGAAAGAATATGGAGGGAAGGTACAAAAGAATAAAGGAAAGAAGGAAGAAGAAAAAGGGAAAAAGAAGATATGGAGGAAAGAAAAATGATAGAAAAAGATGGAAGGAAGGAAGGAAGGAAGAAAGAAGAAGGAGGAAGGAAGGAAGGAAGGAAGGAAGGAAGGAAGGAAGGAAGGAAGGAAGGAAGGAAGGAAGGAAGGAAGGAAGGAAGGAAGGAAAGGAAGATGAACAAAAACCCAATCTGAGGGAAAGGCAGGGAACATGAGCTACGCTGAGTGGGGGCTGGTAGCCGGAAGACAGACAGGTGGGGCCTCCATTGTCTGGTGCTGGGGAGCAGCCAGGTAATATGGAGTGGAGTTAGAAGGGGGCAGGAATCCAGGCTGGGCTGGGCCTGGGGGATTTCCTTACTGCATGGCCTCCTGGCCTCTTCCAGCTGGGTACAGTGAAGGTGGGGACTAGGGGATCTCTTAAGTCCCTCCAGGTTCTCACTCCTGGGACATCCTGATCTTTTTCAGTTTTCATCCCAGGAAACAGCTCAGATCTTGTGGTGCAGGAGGGACAGTCCCTTCGCCTGCTCTGTGCTGCCAACAGCAATCCCCCAGCCACACTGAGCTGGCTCCTGGGGGACCAAACCCTGGCCTCTTCCCAGCCTTCACAGAATGGAGTCCTGCACCTGGATCTGCCCCACCTAGGGCCAGCAGATGGAGGGAATTACACCTGCCTTGCTCAGCATCCTCTGGGCTCCAAGCAGGCCTCCCTAAATGTCTCTGTGCAGTGTGAGTGTAAGGGGGCTGGGCACCATGGGGTGCGTGGCTGCTGGTGGGATAAGGACAGTGTCACCCACTAAGAGGGGATCTCCTGTATCTTCCCACAGACCCCCCAAGGATACTCAGCCCTTCTTGCTCCTGGGTCAGGAAGGCTTGTTCTGTACCTGTTCTGTCCAAGCAGAGCCAGCCCCCTCTTTGAGCTGGTGGGTAGGGGGGAAGCCTGTGGAGGGCAGTGGTAGCAGTGATACCTTCCAGGTGATATCAAACAGATCTGGGCCCTGGGACAACAGCAGCCTGAGTGTGAAGGTGGACAGGGTCCCCAGCATCAATATCAGCTGTGAGGGGAAGAACCCACAGGGGACCCACACCTTCCTGTTCCAGCTGATGCCAGGTGAGGGATGGGGGAGGGAGGCAAGCTGGGGCCAAAAGTCCTGAGGACAGTGGGCCCAATATGGTGACCCCCCTGTGTTCATCCAGACTTCCTTTTTTCCAGATGGGTCCTCTCCTTCTCATGTATTCCAAAATGGTGTGATCCTGGGTGCCCTCTGCGGAGCTGGTACAGCAAGTCTGCTAGCCCTCTGCTTCCTCCTTCTGTGAGTGTGGGGGCTGGGATGGGGAGGAGATCTGGGGCTGGGGGTGATTATAGCCTGCTTTGATGTCTCAGAAATCCTCAGATATTGATGTCTCCCTGGGTTCGGGCACAGATCTAACAGAAATATAAGATGGACATTAGGAAGGGAAGTTTCAGTTCTCTTCCTTTTGCAGATTGAAAAACCAATCAGAGATTCATAGAGGAGATGTGACTTGCTCAGGGTTACACATATGGCCTGGTATGTAGTCAAGTCATGATTTAAAACAATCCAAGCCCCTGATTCCAGATCCAGTGGAGCTTCCAGAACCAAATGCGGAAAGTGGGGGCCCAGTGGATAGAGCAGTGGGCCAGGAGTCATGAAGATCTGAGTTCAAATCCTGCCTCAGACACTTAGAAGTCTGTGTGAGCCTGGGCAAGTCACTTAAATTGTTTGCCTCAGTTTCCTCACATGTATAATGGGTGTAATAAGAGTACCTAACTTGTAGGGCACTATTTAAATGTGAGCTATTATGATAATTAAATGGGATCTTCTCTGTAAAGTGCTTGGTACAGTGCCTAGCATGTAGTAAGTAATGTAGAAATGTTATTTATTATTATTATTGATTGAGGTCGTATCTTTAAGACCTTGGCACAGTGCCTGGCACATAGCAAGTGATATATGAATGTTAGCTGTTGTTATTATTATTAAATATCTGTAAGACCTTGGCACAGGGCCTGGCACATAGCAAGTGATATATGAATGTTAGCTGTTGTTATTATTATTAAATATCTGTTAAGTCCTTGGCACAGGGCCTGGCACACAGTAGGTAGTTAGTGCCTTCTTGTTTCCTTCCCTGGTCCACCCCCTTTCAATTCCCTGAGCTGAATGATGGGCTCAGTGGCACAGACAGGGAGTGGCACAGAGGGATTTGGCCCCTGCATCATCCAGTGCCCTTTCCCCAGAGCAATAAGATGAGGAGGAGATGGTTGGCCGATGGGCCTGATCATTCCTCAGAACAGGCATTTATATTATCCTGGACAGGAAGGGGAAGATTCAAGGGTAAGAGGCTAAAATTTCTACTCTTTGAAAAAGATTAGGACATTGCCCTCCTCCGTTTTGTGGAGCCTCTGCTCTCTTTAAAAATGTTGTTGGGTTTTTTTTAATTTTAGCATTTATTTTTTCTCCCTCCCAATGAGAAATCCTTGTACGAAATATACCCAGTCCAGCAAAACCCCAATTAAGCGGCCAAACTGAAATTCCCACATGGTTTCTCAGTCTCCATCGCTTTTGTTACATCCTTTTCTGTCTGATGGTTTTTCCCCTTGGTGGAGAAAACAGATCCGAGATGAGATTCTGCCTTCTCTTTGCAGGGCCTTGTCCTTTTCCCATCTACTCCAAGCAGTGGCCCTGTGCCTTTTCCTGCCTCTCCTCTCTGACCTTTCCATCATCCTTGGCTTCTCTCCCCAGCTTGGCTCCTTCCCAGCTTGAACGTCCCCATCACACCTTCCCTCAGCAGTGCTACATGTGCATTCAGCATCCTCTTGTTGTCTCTTTTTGTTAGAAGCCCAGCTGCATTGGTGAGCTCCTTCTGCATCCACATCAGTCTTTTTATTTTATTTTTTACTTTTCTTTTTTCTTTTGTAATTGAAATTCTTATTTGCAGTTCTGAATTCTTTCCCTCCCCCCATTTATTGACAAGAAAAGGGAATATAATACCCAGTATACATATGAAGTCACGCAAAATGTAATCCCCCCAAAAGCTAAGAAAGGAAAGAAAAAGAAAAGAAGTGAAAAAATGCTTCAATCCACATCAGAGTTCCTCAGTTTTCTCTTCGAAGTGCACAGCTTTTGCATCATGAGACCTTTGGAGTTTTTTTGGATCATTGTCTTGATTAGAGTAGCTAAATCTTTCATGGTTAATCATCCTCCCAATAATTGGGGGCTGTTACTGTGCACACGGTTCTCCTCCTTCTGCTCACTTCACTTTGCATCAGTTCACATAAGTCTTCCCAGGCTTTTCCAAACTCATTCACTTTTCATTTCTTACAGCACAATATTATTGCATCATAATCATGCACCACAGCTTGTTCAGCCATTCCCTGATTGATCCGTGTTCCCTCAATTTCCATTTTTGGCCCCTTCTAAAAGAGCTGCGATAAATAGTTTTTTGCACATCTAGGTCTTTTTCCTTTGTCTTTTATCTCTTTGGAGTACAGTCCTCCTAGCAGTATTGGGGGGGTCAAAGGTATACAGTTTTATAGCCCTTTGGGGGCGTTGCTCCAGATTGCTCTCCAGAGTGGTTGGACCAGTCCGTAGCTCCACCAAAAGTGCATCACTCTCCCTATTTTTCCACATCACCTCCAGTGTTTGACACTTTTCTTTTCTGTTACATATACTCAGTATAATGTGTATCAGATAGTACTTCAGAGTTGTTTTAATGTGCATTTCTCTAATGATCAATGACAGAGCATTTTTTCACAAGATTATTAAGGGCTTTGATTTCTTCTGAAAACTGCCTGTTCATGTGCTTTTATCATTTATTAATTGAAAAATGTCTCTTTTTTATATATATTTGCCTCAGTCCCCTATATATTTGAAAAATGAGACTTTTATCCAAGCAATGTGATTTTTTTTTGTTTACTGCTTTCCTTCTAATATTGGCTTCATTGGTTTTGTTTGTGGAAAACTTTTTCATTTCATGTGATCAAAAATATACATTTTGCCTCCTATGATCCTGTCTATCTCTTCCATAGACTCTTCCTTTATCAATAGATCTGATAAGTAATTTTTCCATGTTCCTCTAATATGCTTATGATATCATTCTTTGCATCTAAATCATGTATCCATTTTGAGCTGATCTTGCTATGTGGGGTGACATTTGGTCTATACCTCGTTTCTGCCCGACTGCTTTCCTTTTTCCCCAGTGGTGTTTGTAGAATAGTGAGTTCTTACCCTAATAGCTTGGATCTTTGAGTTTGTCTTTGAGTAACTCTAGGCACTGGGATCATTTCCTTCGGAATATTGTGTGCCTAATCCGTTAATCAAACCCCTCTGCTCCTATACAGGAGAACATTGTTTTGATGACGACTGCTTTGTAGAGATCTGGTATTGCTAGGCCTCCTCTGCCTCCTCCTTCCCTGTTGCTTAATATGAATTTCTAAACCTGACTCTGTGTGTGTGTGAGTGTGTGTGTGTGTGTGTGTGTGTCTGTATGCATGTGTGTGTAACTATGTGAGTGTGTGTATGCATATGTGTGTATTTGAATATGTGTGTATGCGTGTGTGTGTGTGTGTGTACATGTGTGAGTGTGTATACTGTTCGCTCTTTGAGCCAGTTCAGATGAGAGTAAGGTTCAAGTGATACCACTCCTTCCCTCCATTTCCCTCCTCCCCTTGTAAAAGCTCTTCCTTGCATGCATATTTTATGTGTGATAATTTTCCTTATTGTTTTCTCTCTTTCCCCTTCTCCCAGTGAATCCCCCTTTCTTACACTTCCATTCTTTCTTTTTAACATCATCCCAACATAACATATTTATACCTGGGCCCTCTGTCTATGTATAAGGCTTCTAACTGCCCCAATAATGATAAAGTTCTCAGAAGTTACATGTATCATCTTTGAATATAGGAATATAGAAGTTTAATCTTATGGAGTCTTCTTACGATTTCTCTTTCAGGTTTACCTTGTTATACTTCTCTTGAGTCCTGTGTGTGAACGTCAAATTTTCTATTCCACTCTTGTCTTTTCATCAGGAATGCTTGAAACTCTTCTCTCTCGTTGTGTACATTTTCCCCAGAAAGATTATAGTCTGTTTTGCCAGCTGGGTTATTATCCTTGGTTGTAATCCTAGCTACTTTGCCTTCTGAAGCATCATATTTCAAGCTGTCCACTTCCTTAAAGTTTTTGTTCAGTCATTTCATTTGGGTCTGACTCTTTGTGACCCCGTTTCAGGTTTTCTTGGCAAGGATAGTAGAATGGTTTGCCATTTCCTTCTCCAGCTCACTTTATAGATGAAGAAAAAGAGGTAAACAAGGTTAAGTGACTGGCCCAGGTTCACATAGCTAGAAAATGTCTGAGGCTGAATTTGAACTCAGGAAGATGAGTCTTTGTGACTTCAGGCCTGGCGCCCTGCCCACCCTGTCACCCAGCAGCCCTTTACAGTTACTAATTCTAAATCTCGTGTGATCCTGAATGCAGTTCCACAGTTTTTGAATTGTTTCTTTCTGGCTGTTTGCAATATTTTCTCATTGACCCCAGAGCTCTGGAATTTGGCTATCATATTCCTCAGTTTTCATTTTGGAATCTCTTTCAGGAGGTGATTGGTGATGTGCATTTCTCAAGGATGGAGGCAACATAGAAATGTTCATTGGTAGTGGGACAGGAGTCAGTAGATAGGCAAAGGGGACAGGAAGAGTTCTCAGCCAAAGGCCTCAATCTTTTGGGTGAAGTCTGAGGCACAGTACACAGCTAAGAGGGTAAGGGGTGAGGTGCCATGAGAGCCTGAGGACAGATGAGAAGGTTTGGAGTCCATGCTGTGGTTAGTGGGATAGGGAATTTATTACAAAGGAGTAGACGGCTTGACTTGCTCCAGTGAGGACCCATTTGGGAAGCATAGTGGATAACACCTTCAGGTCCTGATGATTGGAAGCAGTATCATCCCATGGGATCACAGGATGTAGAACTGAAAGAGCCCTTAGCAACAATTTTATCTAAACCTCTCATTTTACAGATGAGGAAACTGAGGCCTAGAGTGAGGAGGGGATTCACCCAAGATCTCAGAGCGAAAGTGTGCCAAGTGCAAGTCTCTTGATCCTTAGCCCAATGGTCTTTCTTAGACACTCCTGTGGCTCACATGTTTGTGGGATTTGGTGATTGAAGATCACAGAACAGGAGAATGTCACAGGGGAAGGGACCTCAGGGACCCACAATTACATTTTACAATTGAAGAAAGAGGAGGCCATTGAAGGAAAACGACATGCCCAAGGTCAGGCAGAGAGTGACAGGGCCCTCATTCTCTGGATCCAAGCCTCAGTTTCTCTCCCCTGCACCAACTCTGCCTTTCTACCTCCTCAGGTAAAGATGCTCAGGAAGAAGTCAGTGGCAGCAGCAGCAGCAGCAGCATCCAGGGGGGCAGCACAGGTAGAGCATGCCAGCCCCCAGCCCCCAATTGTCCACCCAACTCTCTCAGTCCCCAGCTCCCTCTGTGTCCCAAGGCCATCTCTCCCCACTTTCTTCTCCGTCTCTCGTGACATGGGGGACCTGCCCTGCCTCAACGTCCCCTTGCCCTGTCTCCAGGATCCCAAGACGCCGTCCTGGGTGGACCAGTCCCTGCATCCCATTTCACCAGGTCCAGACACAGCTCCAGCTCCAGTAGCCCCAGAGGATAGACCAGATGACTTACATTATGCCTGCCTCAACTTCCAAGGAGTGAAACCAAGAGAAGACTGTGGACCCACTGACGCCCTCACCGAGTACTCAGAGATTAAGTTCCAATGAGCAACTGTTGAGGCCTCAGCCTGGGTTCTACACTGGACGGTCTGCAAGGCAGTTCCACCCCTCCATAACATGAATTAAAAACCTGCTGCTGAGAGATGTGGATAAGATACATTCCTCATATTCATGGAACTTTCAGTCTAGTAAAGAGAGAAAGCATATTTTCACATTAGTCTGACTCTATATTTTTGTCTCAGTCTAGTAAAGCCCAGTGTAGCAGCCCCTCCTCAAACATACTCTTCTTCAATGATGGTGATCCTCAGAGGGTTATAGGGGTCACTTTCATGGGCCACCATATTTCTAACACTGTAGCTCCTGAGCTCCCCCCCCCAGTGTGCTTCCCTATAACATTCAAAAGTCGTAACAAGAATTGCAAAGCATCCCTTCCCAAAACCTGGGACCCGCTTTCCTGCCAATACGCACAGTGTATATCCGTAAGAGAGGAGAGAGTAAGCAGCAACTCTTAATGAATGATAAAGAAGCCACAGGTACAGGGAACACATGTGACCAAGGTAACTTACAACTCTGGAACTTCAGAGACTCAATGACTTTTGTCTTTCCTGAAATGTCTTTACAAAGTTTTCTACTGAGCATGTGTCTGCTCGATGGATGGCCTTACTGCTATGCAAGTCCAGTCCACTGCTAGGGCTGGCGCACTCTACTACTGAACAGTGTTAGCTCTTCACAGGGCATAGCATCTCAGGTATATGGGTCAGTGCCTTGGACTCACTTGGATAAGCTCCTTTAGTGTTCGTTTGCTAAAGTCTCCATGATTAGAGCCATAGTCTCCAGAATTTCCCATTTCAGACTATGCAGTGGGGGAGACACAGGATTTGGATAAGTCAAATTCCCTGCCCCCATGCAGCTTCCATTCTAGCAAGGAAATATGATGCAAAGACAAGGAATGCTAATATGTCATCACACATAAGAGCATTAGAGAGAAACAGATCAGAGTATTAGGTGAATCTCAGTAGTAAGTTTATTTATCAAACATTTCAGCTCAGTAGTTACTAAGTGCCAACTATCTACACCCTTGGCTTGGTGCTTGAGTATGTCCAACCTCATTTCACTCATGAGGAAACTAAGGCTCAGAAAGAAACATAGCATCATAGATTTAGACACATAATGGACCTTTGAGGTTACTGAGCCCAGAACCCTCATTCTATAAATAAGGAAATGGAAGCCAAGAGAGACTCAGTGATTTGCTCAAGGTATACACACACGTAGTAAATGTCTGGGGAGATATCAAACCATGGTGTTCCTGATTCTGAGTTGAGAACTTTATTCTCTATACAGCACTGCACAAAATGCACAACCAGGAAGGAATAAGGCTAGAACTCAAACTCCTGCTTACTAGTGTCTGTCTTTCTTTCTTTCTTTCTTTCTTTCTTTCTTTCTTTCTTTCTTTCTTTCTTTCTTTCTTTCTTTTCTGTTTTTTCTTTCTTTCTTTTCTTTGTTTTTTCTTTCTCCTTTTCCTTGCTTTTTTTCTCCTCATTTCTCCTCTTACTTTCTTCTTTTTTCTTTCCTTCTTTTCTCTTACTTTATCTCACTCTATATTTTTTGAAAATTATTTATTTTTAGTTTTCAACATTCACTACCATAAGATTTTGAGTTTCAATTTTTCTCCTCCTCCCTCTCCACCCCCTCCCCAAGACAGCATGTAATCTGATATAGGCTCTAGTTATACATTCATATTAAACATATTTTCACATTAGTCTGACTACATTTTTGTCTTTGTACATCTATCTGTTTCTCCTGTGATTTCACTGGCATAGGGAACTCCATGTAGCAATGCATCCTTAAAGAGTTAGTTACCTGAATTGCCTAAGGCGCTAACAGGTTAATGACATGCCCAGAATCACAAAGCTAGTTGACACAAGAGACAGGACAGCACTGGCTCTGGACTTATACGATCTGGGTTCAAATCTCACTTTTGTCACTTCTTACCCTTGTGATCTTGCACAAATCTCTTATCCAGCCTGGCATGAAATTTACTCACCTCTAAAATAAGGGAGTTGCCCTAGATCATCTTGAAGGTAGCTCATGGCTCCACATCTATGATCCCATGACTTGAACCTAAGTTTTCCCGGTGGGGAGGCCAATTCTACACCAGATTTACTTTGCAATGACTTAGCTGTGTACATATTGTATCTCCTCTCCCCCAGACCCTAGGGGAATGTAAGCTCCTTGGGGACAGGCCCTGCTCTCCTCCTTTAGTCTCCGCAATGCCTTTGCCACACTTCGTATTTAATAAATGTTTGATTGATTGAATTCTGCCTCCATGTTCAGCCTTCCTTCCACTCTTCCACATTGCCTCAGAGGTACCTAGGGAATGGCATGGGGGAATGGTGACCTGGGCTGAGGAGACGCATAGAAACTGTAAAGGTATACTCCGTGTTCTGTAGGGCACGCCCAGGTGGTGCCAGGGCACCAGACACACTGGTTGTGGAGGTGGGAGATGTGGTTTCCAAACCACATGTGTCTACACCTCGCTGGCTAAGTGTATAGACCTGAGTTTGAATCCCACCACCTAATCTCTGTCTGCCTCAGCTGTCTCTTCAGCTGTAACGTGAGGACGTTGGTTCCCAATGTTCCTTTTCAGGTCTAAATCTATAATCCGATGATCCAAGGGGAGCTATCTCCTGACAGTAGTCACTAGCATTTACATGGCCCTTTAAGGTTTCCCAAATGCTTTACAAATATTCTCTCATTTCATCCTTACAACAACCCTGGGAGGTAGGTGTTGATATTATCCTCATTTTACTGATGAGCAAACTGAGTCAAAGAGAGGTTAAGTGATTTGCCTAGGGTGACACATTGTGAAAGTGTCTAAGGCAGAATTTGAACTCAGGTCTTCCTGACTCCAGGTCCAGTGCTCTGTGCACTATGGCACCATTTGGCCTACACAAACCTAGAAATATTAGCTATTATTACCTGCAAAGCCTTGCTCATGTCCCTTCCTCAATTTCTCCATATTCATCTGTAAAGATCTAGATGGCATTGTGGTGGTGAAAAAGGCTCGAAACATAATTTCTGGTTAATTTAATGATTTTAATACTAATGCTAGCATTTTAGTAAAAGGTCAGTCATTTGCCTGGCTTTCTCTTCAACCAAAGTCCCCTCATAGAGGTGCGCTCACAGCTTATTTGCCCTTGGAAGAGCAGCTGTTGCTCAGGGTGGCAATCAACTCTGATTGCTTAACAATTACTGAGAAAATAAACATTACTATGAGAGGGTGGGCTACATTAAACTGAGTGTCTTGGGGTGCATGACTTGGGTCAATCAAATATTGGTCAAAGAGACTTATCCATTTCCATATCACCCATCTGACAAAAGACAGAATCAACGCTTTCTCAGACCTGTCTGAGCACACACAATAAGCAGGAATACACACATTAAGCCAAACTTGGAATTTCTCTTCCTCTCTGATTATGTCTTAGCCATTTTCTCTGGACAAATGCTTTAGAAAGATTTCTCACACTGGTTGGTTCCTGGGTGAGGAAGTAGGGAAGGGGGAAAAACCTTGTTCCCAATACAATAATTGGTTATTAAATACAAGAGAGAAATAATCACTTCTTCCAGCATGTAAGGTGATTTCCAATTCCAAATCCTTGGATTCCCTCATATCATCCCACCGTAGTCATTCCCTGAAGAAACAACAGATCAACCAAAGGCCAGGCCAGCTCTGGTTGTCCAACTGATGCCCTCTTTGGAAATCCTGCAGACAGCGCTTACAATGCATAGGATGCCTGCGTGTTCACATCAGCTTCTTCCTAGGTGCCTGCAGAATCTTTCAGAAGGCAGGCTGTGGACAGACAAACAGACAGAATGGGGTAATGGAGAGTGTGGGAGGGCCCTGGGACAGAGAACACCAAACTTGAATCTTTGCTCAGAAACTGACTTGCTGGGTGAGCTCACATGTGTTCCTATCTTTCTGTGGGATAATAACACTTTGACCACTTCTCTTACAGGGCTGTGGTGACAAGTCAATTATCTGGTACAAACAAATGGGGAAACAGAATAGCACAGGGGAAATGCAATTCCCTGAAATCATAGGGCTGGGAAGAGACAGAGACTAGTTTCAAACCCAGTTCCCCCATCTGCAAAGCCACATCTCTTTCTACTGCCTGATGCTGTGGCCATTCAAACCTGTAGAAGACTGTACCAGTGTGAGAATGCATTGAATTGAGATACAGATAGATGGGTAGAAAGATAAGTAGAAAAATAGACAGACAAACAGAACAGATAAAAGATAGTTATAGATAGATACAGAGAGGTAGATACAGATAGACAGACAGACAGTGACAGACTGTGATGGGTGAAACCTGAAACACCCAAGGAAACAAAGGTTTGAGCTTCTGAGAATATCAATTTGTTTATTTTTTACAATTAATTTTAATTTTTTCTCAATTACATATAAACAAAAGGTTTTAGCATTGATTTTTAAAAATATTTTGAGCTCCATATTCCTTTCCTTTCTCCTCCCTTCTCCCCTCCTTGAGAAGGCAAGCAATTTGATATCGGTTATGTATATGCAGTCATGCAAAACATTTTCATGTTAGCCATGTTGCAGAAGAAAATGCGGACCAAAAAGCAAGCAAACAAGAATAATAAAAATGTTTGAAAAGCATGTTTTGATCTGCATTCAAACTACAGTTCTTCCTCTGGAGGTGGATAGCATTTTTCATCATTAAGTCTTTTTCTTAGATCATTGCATTGTTGAGAATAGCTAAGTGATTCACAGCTTATCACCATACAAAACTGCTGTTTCTATATCCAGAGTTCTCCTGGCTCTACTTTCTTCATTCTGCATCAGTTCATGTAAGTCTCCGCAGGTTTTTCTAAAATCACTGAGCTCATCATTTCTTATAGCAAAGTAGTATTCCATCACATTCATATACCACAACTTGTTCAGCCATTGCCCAGTTGATGGGCATCCCCTCAAATTCCATTGCTTTTCCACCACAAAAAGAGATGCTATAAAAATTTTTGTAAATACAGAGCCTTTTCCTTTTCCTTTGATCTCTTTGGGGTACAGACCCAGTAGTGCCATTTCTAGGTCAGACGGTAGCCTATCTACACATGCCAAATGCACAACAAATTGGGAACAGGTCTCCTCAGATCCTCAATAGAGGAAGAGACAGATTTTTGGTCATTAAAAGATAACAATAA